TTTGGGTGTATCTCCAATGCAGTCACGGGGGGTCGCTTGGGGATCGCTCCTCCCGCCCCCCCCTGTTCCTCCGGCCTCCTCCTCCCCTTCCTCAGCTCCGCCTCTCGTCCTGTTCACTCGTCCCTGGCTCCTCCTCCTCCTCCTCCTCTTCCTCCTCGTCCTCCTCCTCCTCCTCCTCCTCCTCCTCCTCCTCCTCCGGGGGTTAGGAGGCGGCAGCCTGACTGCATGGGCCACGGACTCCAGGAATCGGAGCACGCCAATTGTATACGTACGCCTACTTTGAGTTAAGGTCATGTCGACAAGCTGCCAGCGCCTGCCCAGAATCGGCCAATATCGACCAGCCCCCGCAGACGGGAAAGGCGGTATTGAGCAAGGTTGAATGATTCGATCCGGGTTCGAAGCCGACGCTCAAAGCGTCACGAGACGATCTCGCCGCACCTCGGTCTAGCGAAGCCGATCCCGGGCTGAGGATGTGACTGCCCCGCCGGCCGAGCCAGGAGGGCTTTCTCCGATCCCTGGGCCCAGGACAGGCCAGGATGGGCCTGGCCAGGATCAGTACAGACGTGCAGCTGGCGTCCTCCCACAGGCAGCTGGGCGGAGAGGCGAGCTCAGAGACCAGCAGACGTGCGTAAGCACATGCCTTCGGACCCCCCGCGCGAAGTTCTCGGGTGGGCGCTGGGACCCCCTCACCACACCCCTTCCCCAGCGCCGCCCCCGGCGCCGCCGCTGGCGCCGCCCCAGGCGCGCTCCACGAGCCAGGTGGTGTGGGGGGGGGGGTCCAGTGCCGCTCTGGGAAGTCCGCGCGGACGTCCTAGAGCTCGCTTATGAAGCTCTTGCTTCTTCCAAGGCGAGCGAGAGGGAGCTCGAGGCATCCAAGGAGGCTGCTCGCATACTCGCTTTGAAGAAGAGCCGCTTCGCATCGACAGCGGCTTGGGGCTTCAGCCTGTTGGACATCACGGCGCGGGACAAGGCTTCGGTGCACCGCGGCTACCGCACCTTGATGCGAAAGCTGCATCCAGACAAGGCTGGGTGCGTGCAGGGTGTGCTTGAGGCTGCCGAGCTGGCGCGTGAAGCCAAAGAGGCGTGCGAGCGCCACACCTCAACGGAGTCTCTCCCGCCCATGCCACGTGGCTTACGTTTTGAGAGGAAGTGCTCGGACCCAGGCAAGCGGACGTTCCTACTGCATTGGTCTCCGTTCTCTGCGACAGAGGTCGCATGCGTCCGCAGATACATCGTGCAGGTGTTCGATCCAGCCTACGGCCGCGCGCTGAAGGTTGCAGACTTGGAGCCGGACTACAGCGAGGAGCTCGGACGCTACGTGTCCGTCGAGGAGATCACCACCTACGAGCTCTCGGAGGAGGTGCTGAGCAAGATGCCGAAGGTCTGGTCCGAGCCCGTGGTGAAGGTGACGGTGGCGGCGGCGAACCAGGCCTTTGCTCTCAAAAACGCTGGGGGCATTTCTTCTCCCAGTTTCCACTGTTCGTTATGTTTCTTCGAAACAACTGTGCTTGCTTTCCGTTGAATGTAGACATTATTAATATCGTTATTTTTTGTATTATGAGTGCCCGTATTATTATTATTATTAGTAGTAGTAGTAGTAGTAGTAGGAGTAGTAGTAGTAGTAGTGGTAGTAGTAGTAGTAGTAGTAGTAGTAGTAGTAGTAGTAGTAGTAGTAGTAGTAGTAGTAGTAGTAATTTATCATTATTATAATTGTTATTGCACGCTGGTCGTTGAAAGTACGTATTTCTGGATTTCCAGACCCCAATCTATTTCAAGCGCCTTCCTACTTCAAGAATGGGCTTGCGTTTGCTGTGTTTTGTTATTATCTGGGAGGGCCTGTTCCAAATCTATGTTATCCGCCTTCCCACTTCATGGTTCTACCTACTTCTGCCGACCGACGTGTATTATGGTTATGATTGTGGACAATATTGAAGGGGCCCTGGGGCACACAAATAAATACACACAAATAAAGTAATTCCCCATATGTTCATATGTTTTCGGGGTTTTGTCATCCCCCCCACTTCCATTATTTTTCAATATTTTCTGGGGGATCGACGATTCATTGTGTCTGTGTTTTTCCCTTCTTGAAATATGATTTACAAAGAAGGGGCGACAGGCTGGAGGGAGGCACCGTGTGGCATTTTTAGCCGGGCCGGCAGCGCCGCGGAGAGAGACGTGCCACGGGTAGGTGGGCCACGAGCTCGCCTTGGGATTCGAACGCGCAACGCACAACGCGGCTCCCCGCAACGGCTCACACGGCGCCTCTGAGCCTAGCCATCCACCCCTGGCCTCGCCCCTCACTTCTCGGAGGTGGATAAGACCTCCTACCCTGGCACGTCGATGAAGGAATTGGCCGTTTTCGGTTCGCGAGGGGCGTCGCGGCCGTTATTTTTGCGGGCCCCCCTGGTTGAGCCTCTGTGCTTATCCCCCCTCTGGTCTTGCCTTATGATGTTCCAACCTACTTTAGCCTCGACCACCAGGAAGAGTTTCGAGCGCCCAAAAAAGTGCAGAATTTGACGGTTTTCGTGTGTCGGGCCCTGCGGAGACACTCGCCCGACACTGTTTCGACATTGTTTCGACACTTCTCTTGGTGCTCGAAGTCATTTCTGGGATACGCTCCTTAAGTAGGAGGGGAACAACAGAACCCTGGTCTTGCCCCTGACTTCTCGGGTCACAGAGCGGGTCTCCGGCGGCCGTCCGGGACGATCGGGGTATACGCCCGGCACGCTCACGGCGACGCGCCGCTGCGGGATGGGCATCCCGCAACTGGACAACGCAGCGAGGCGACGAACACGCCCGAACCCCTCAACCTGAAGACCTCGATCCCTCCCTGGGACGTTGCCCCGGACCTCCCCCGCCTCGCAGTCGCCCTGCCTCCTCCTCGGCAGGGCCAGGACCGCCTCCCAGCGGCTGTCTCCGCCCCCTCCTGCCTCTTCCGGGCTCATCCTGCCACCTCCTGCCTCCTCCTCCCTCCTCCTGCCTCCTCCTGCCTCCTCCTCCTCCTCCTCCTCCTCCTCCTCCTCCTCCTCCTCCTCCTCCTCCCCTTCCTCCTGCCTCCTCCTGCCTCCTCCTGCCTCCTCCTGCCTCCTCCTGCCTCCTCCTCCTCCTCCTCTTCCTCCTCCTCCTGGCACCTCCTCCTGCTCCTGTCTCCTCCTGCCTCCTCCTCCTCCTCCTCCTCCTCCTCCTCCTCCTCCTCCTCCTCCTCCTCCTGCCGCCTCATCCTCCTGCCCCTGTCCTGCCTCCTCCTCCTCTCCCCCCTCCTGTCACTTCCCCATGCCTCCTCCTCCTCCTCTCTTTCTTTCTCGCCTCCCGAATATCAGGCAAATGAGTCTACGTCCGTTGGTTTCGACAGTACGCATTGAGCGCAAACGTTCGTGTGTATCACGAAGTTGGTTTCGTGCACTGGGGGGCGGTATTCATGTACGTGGCTGGGCGCGTACGTCGTACCTTTGTGGGCCCCCGAAAACCCTCATCCTCCTCGCATCGCCCCGGCCTCGGGGTTTCTAAGAACACCTCAGGCTGGCCAGTCGGCGTTTGCCTCGATCAACGTGCCGCTCCGCGCGGCGCCGGCGATCGGGCGGGGCTAGGACGAGGATCAATCCGTTCCAGAGCGTTCCTGAAGGCTCTTCTCAGAGCGTTCTCGATCGCTCTGTGAAGGCCGCGGCGCCCGAGACATCCCCCAGATCCGCCGGATCTTAGAGATTCTCGGTTTCTTGTCGGCGGCGAACGAAGGGGGGGGAAGTGAGAAGGAGCGGGCCTTCCCGCCTTCTGCGAAGTGTTCTAAGCCCTCCCCGACGACACTGAAAGATCCTCTCAGAAGGCGCAAGGGCTTCTGAGAAGTCCCGCAACCTTCGGAGAAGGCCTTCTCCTTCTCACTTTTCACCCTCGCTCGCCGCCGATTTACGGTAGGTTCATGTGGCGATGGCGCGCCGGCAATGCCGGCGAAGGTGTTCCAGGTTGAATTCCGCACGATAGAGCGACGCGGACGTACCGAGAGACACGGCAACGCCGCAGGACCCGACGGGATTCAACCTTGAGCGATCGGGGCCGCGATCGATGCAAGGTTGAACGATCGACGCGGTGTCAAAAACCTTAGCGCGCGCCGACGCCGCGCGAACCTACCGCACCCGTTTTTTTCGGATGCAACTCTTGGGAGGTCAAATTCTGATTTAGCCCTGGTCCGAAATCCCGCTTTATCCGGCTCAATGCCGCTTCATCCCGCTTAATCCAGCTTAATCCCGCTCAATCCGGCTTAGTTCCGCTTGATCCGAGGCGCACTCTGGCGTAACAGCCTCCCAATGTCGGAGATAGACCTCCTACCCTGACACGTCGATGAAGGAATTTGCCGTTTTTGGTTCGCGAGAGGGCGTCGCGGCCGTCATCTTTTCGGGTCCAGGTCCGTCGGCTTCCGTCCTAGGCCGGTTTCACTAAAGGGAGGTTTACTAAAGGGAGGTTTGTCCACCGCTGACAATTGGCCTTAATCCTCCGTACTCCTTCCGACGAAGACCTTAATGGGGAGGCCCAAACATATGCACCACCACCACCTCCCTCCCCCAAGCCCCCTCGCTGGAAAGAGGAGAGAGGAGGAATCGACGTGGTGGTGGTGTACACCTTAGGCGATGCTTAAGAAAACTTAGGCTTTCGGCCAGAGTCTCGATTATTCTTAACGTTTCAATCTAAATCCTAAGTTTGTAATAGAAATGTTGTTTTTTTTATTCAAGTTCTGAGACTATAAATTTCTTAACCCATGATTTCTTAAGCATTTCGCAAGGTGTACATTCTTTGGGGCTTGAGGCCTCGTCCTCGTCCTGGCTACGCCGCCAGGCGAGCGTGCTCCCCGCGCGGCCGGCCAGCCGGCCGCCGGGGCCGGCCTGGCGGCCGCCGAGCCCGCAGCGGTGCCCCGGGGGGGCGGCCAGCCCGGACGCCAGCGGGGGCGAGGACGGGCGGCCCGAGCTCAACCCAGACCTCCTCGAGTCATGAAAAAATCACGACGGGAGGTTTTTCTCTATTTTCGGCCTCTGGGGACCCTTACCGGCCTTCAGGACCGTCAAAAAACGACTCGGGCTGAAAAGCCGGTCCCGGGGAATGGGTCCGGACCTCTGGGGGTCGCGTCATGAAAAAATCATGACGTCGGGGGTCTGGGAATGTTGTGTCGGGCCCGTGCCTCTGCAGGAGGAAGCTGCACGAGTAGTCACAAGATAGTCGGGGGACTATCTTTTGAGCATGGTGTTTGACCCTTCTGGGGCATTTTTGTTGGAGTATCTGTTATTTCGTCGAACGCTCCCTTGTAGAGGGACAGGCCAGACTTAAGCTCCATGGTGCATACACCTCCCCAGTCATCGGGCAGCTCCAAAAAAATCGTGACGGAGGTTTTTCGTAGTGTTTGGCCTCTCGGGGCCCTCGCCGGGCCCCGAGGCCGTCAACAAAACGACTCGGGAAGAAGAGCCGGTCCCAGGGAAGTGGTCGGGAGGTCGGGGGCCAGTGTCTCGAACGAATCGCGACGTCGGAGCTCAATGGTGCATACACTCGAAGGAGGAGAAAACACATAAACATAAACTTTTGGCGCTCCGCGCGGAGTTCTTAGATCCGCGCTGAGGGCCCCCCCCTGGCGGCGCCTCCGGTGCCGCCCCTGGCGCGCTCCGCGCGCCAGGGAGGGGGGTCCGGCGCAGATACAAGAAATCCGCGCAGAACAAAAGTTTATGTTTATGTGGTTTTGGGAGTCATCGAGCGCGTTCCACTCCTCGCCAAGCGCCTGCTCGCAGACGTCCGAGAAGCACACGTTCGCCTCTGCATAATAGATCGTAGATCCCCCGCGGCGGATCCAGGCCTTTTAAGAGTAGTAGTTACTCTGCGAGTAGTGGAACTAGCTCGTCTACAAAGTCCACCTGCTTCCAGAGGACCAATATCAAGCAGTGGCGAGGCGTCTTGGCCCGCCGATGTGGACCAACCAAAGAATGTTGGGAGAACCGTTTGCGGCGCTTTCACGGGCAATGGTCTTAGAATATTTCTGGCCGAGACCGTTTTGTTTTACTGCATCGGCTCTGCGCTCTAAAAACGTCTTGATCTTAGCATGTTCTTTCGATCTGAGAACATTCCGTGGTAGGCATGTAGGAATGCCATGACCGTTGGTCACTGCTCTACAATAATTCGGGCGTATGCCAAATACCGTTCTAACGTTCAATCCACAAGCGTTTATATACACCTGTGATGTTGTAACACACCTGTTTTTGAACATGTATGTATATGTAGATGTGTACCCGTGCACATACACATGTACATAGACACGTGGATACGCCACGTATATATATATATAGAGAGAGAGAGAGAGAGAGAGAGAGAGAACGCGGCCGTCGCGCTCGGCGCAGTACAAGGTCGGAGACAGGGTAGATGCGTCTATTGTACGTTCTTCTAGGGCAGTTCCCCAATGGCACTCCAACGCATACCGCCCAGGGATCAGAGGAGGAGACGGTACCGATGCCGCTGCCTTTCACTCGCGCTTGCTTTCTAAGAGGCCTTTGGAGACCCCTCGTTGCCACGGCTGGGGTCGCCTCGACAGTCTTGCCAGAACGCACCCGAGGAGGTCCGTGGGCCGGCGGCATCGGTGGATCTCTTGGTTCCCCCACAGCCACCGCTTGGGGGTCCGATGTCGCGGGAGGGAGCACGATTCTGACCCCCAGGCTTCGAAAAAGCCAAAGCTGCATAAATCAGGAGGGCAGCAGACACACAGACACAGTTAATCGTCGACTCCCAGGAAAATATGGGATATTATGGGAAATGGAGGGGGAGATAAACACACAGAAAAGATGGGAAAATATAAGGAATCCTGTTATTTGTGTGTATTCATGTTGTGCCCCAGGGCCCCTTCAATAAGCATGAACACTCGGCGCTCCGCTCGGATTTCTTGGATCGGCGCTGGCCCCCCCTGGCGGCGCCTCCAGAGTCGACCAAGATCCCCCGTGTTGGGGGACTGGCCCGACCTGAGGTTAAGTTGGGCCTGTCCCTCTACAGGGGGAAAATTCAAAAATAGTCAAAACATAGTCGGGGGACTATTTTTTGAGTATTCTTGGGCATCTTTGAGCACTTTTGAATATTCGTTGTTTATCGTCCAAAATCTCCCTGTAGGGGGACAGGCCCGACCTAAACCTAAGGATTGGTCCCTCGAAACCCAAAGAGAACAGCATATATCCCCTCCTGGGGGGGGAGTCGGCCAGAGGGGTCAAAGCCATGCCTGCGGGGATGGGGATGGTTCAAATGATGCTCAGGACAGGATGCCGAGAGATGGAAAACCACCCTGGCCCCTGCAACTGGCGTTTTCGTGAAACGGCCCCAGACATGCACAGTCAACCCGCGTAGTAAGGATGAGCGACGTTCCAAGGTACCCTTTGCAACTTTCCCTTTCGGCTTGTCCTTGGCCGCTTTCGCTGGTCGCGCCCCGCTCGCACAGTGTCGACATGGCCTTCTGAGACTCCTGCTTCCTTAGCGTGCGTCTTTCCCATACGGGTTGGTTGTACTAACGAGCCCTGTCCTCAGCTCAGAGGCGGCCTGACCGGGCCCCTAGCAAACCAACTCCCAGCGTGACGGCTCCCTACCCTCGCTCCAAGAGGTGGGCGGGTGGTTGCCTGCCAGAGGGGAAAGGGTCTTCAGAGTGAGGGGGTCGTCACCGAAGTGAGCGACACAAAAAACGGGGTCGCCGACACTGGCGCGTAAGCTGCCCGCGTAAGGTCGCGCATAAGCGCCCTCGTTTCAACTCAGCCGGCCGCCCTGGCGCCCCACGTAAGCCGCTGCGTAAGGTCGTTACATCACCTCGCGTAAGACCAGGTTTCGATCGTTGCCCAAGCGGGTCGTCACGGAGGGGGTTGGTCTGGCTGGGTGACGATGTCGCAGGGCCGAAGGAGGCATTGGATGTGGATACGGACTCGGGCTCCATGGCTGCCCAGACATATCCATGCCCACAGCCTCTTGAGGTCTTGATCCTTGTCAGTGCAGTTGTATAACATTTGCTTGCAAGCTTGGACCCCAAACGGTGAATTATTGCACTCTCGATGTGCAATGGATTCGGTTATGTTGGTGTGGTCCAGCTGCTGTCCGCTGGCTGGCGAGGTGTGCCAGAGTATTCATGTTGCAGCTGGTGTGGATTACCTGCCGTTTAAGGCGGCATTGGCCGTTCAGTATTTAGAAATGCCCGCAAATCTGCCTCACAGTTGATTCATGCTGTCCGTTTCCATCGTCTCCCTCAAGCCCAAATGAAACAGGTGGTACAATCTGCATGTGATGCATGTTGCAACCTATGGTGCAACCTGTATGGTGCAATAGGTTCGATGCAGTCTACATGGTGCAATACGCGTGGTGCTGTGTATCTATATATATATACATGTGTGTAGCTGCCTGCGGCTAATCCCGCCACCGTGCCAGCCCAGCATTCTGGATGGCCACTGCTCGAGGTGGCACGGGTGTCCGTCACGTGTGACGCATTGTGTCTCCAGATTTGGTAGAGTTGTGACAAGGACGATGAGGATGATGATGATGATGAGAATGGTGTTGTTGTTGATGGTGATGTTGATGTTGATGCTGATGTTGTTGATGATAATGATGATGGTGATGATGATGACGACAGCGATGATTATGATATTATGATGATGATGCTGGTGGTGGTGACGATGCTGATGGCGAGCATTATGATGATTGTGGTGATTATGATTGCGATGATGATGATGATGATGATGCTGGTGATGTTGTTGCGATGGCGACGATGATAAGGCGGATCTAGGATCGAGGATCGATGATCGAGATTGGATATTCGATTCTCGATGGTCGACGATGAGTAATGGTGGTGATGACGGTGGTGGTAATCACAATGATGATCGATGAACGATAACGTGGATGATGGTGATGATGATGGGGAGTATGATGGCGATGGCGATTGCCATGATGATGGTGGTGGTGATGATGGTATTGATGATGGTGATGTTCATGACGGTGACGACGATGATAAGGTGATGATGAGCAGGATCATGATCGTGATCTTGGTCATGAAGATGATGCTGATGATGCTGTCGCTGATGATGTTGCTGCTGGTGCTGATGCTGACGCTGATGCTCATTATGATGACGCCGATGATGCTGGTGGTGTTGCTTATGATGATGATTATGACGACGATGCCAATAATGGTAATGCGGATGCTGCTGATGATGGTGGTGGTGATGGTGATGATGGTCATGATGATGATGACGTTGGTAGTGAAGACGACGACGACGACGATGAGGTTGATGTTGTTGATGATGATGATGATGCTGATGATGATGATGATGATGATGATGATGGTGGTGGAACTCGTTTGGGCCGCCTTGGGGCTGCCTTGGCCTCCTGTGAGACACAGTCTTGTGGGTTCCGTTGGGGCCTCGTGGGCTGATTGGGGGTCCTTCGCACGCTGGCTTGGGGTTCCCGTGTGCCGTCTTGGGGGCTCTCGTGGGGCGGTCCGGGCCGTCCAAAAGGCCTTCTAAGGCCATTTGGGTTCCAAGGAGGCCATGTTGGGCCGTCTTGGGGCCGCCTTGGTTGCTTCTTGGGCCATCGTGGAGTCCTCGTGGGCCGTCTTGTGCTGACGGCAGATAGAATGCGAAAACTGTTCAAACACCGATGGTGATTTGGGCTTCTTCGGACCCTGCTGGAGGTCCTCGTGCGGCGTGTTTGGGCCCTCTTGGAGGCACCTTGGGCCCTCTTGAAGTAGTAGTCGGCCGCCTTGGGGCCATCTTGGGCCGACTGCGAGGCATTTTGGGCCATCCTGGTGTCGTTGGTTGCTGGCACGGGCCGTCTTGGAAGCTCGGGGCGCATATGCACCGCCGTTACCTAGGGACTGCCGCGTAGGAGGCCATGGAGCGCTTGGGAGCAGCGCCTGCGAATGCGAGACGTGCACGATCCTCGAGCGGGTGCGTGTGGGATGAGGGGTCTAGGAGTAGCAGCAATGCGAGAAGTGCGCAATCCTTGAGCGGGCGCGCATGGAGTGAGGGTTCAGGCATTAGCTGCCACGCGGCAAGAGCACGATCCTCGAGCGGGCACGCGTGGGGAGGGGGTTCAGGCATTAGATACCATGAGGGACGTGAACAATCCTCGAGCGGGCGCGAATGGAATGAGGGTTCAGGCATGTGCTGCCGTGCGGGAAGTCTACCATCCTCGAGCGGGCACGCGTGAAATGGGGAATTTGGCATCAGCTGCCATGCTGGAACTGCACCATCCTCGAGCGGGCACGAAAGAAGTGGCGTCGGAACGAAGGGGCGACGCATGCGCCAGTCTGCGGATACATAAAGGGAGGGGGGGGCCCTCCTTAGAATTCAGAAACCCTGCGAGACAGACCTTGGCATTCTTCAACGGCTCAACGTGCCAGGAGGCATGGTGGCGGAATGTGGTGCCGTGTGTGGGGTGGAATCGGGTTTGCAAGCTATGTGGCGCAAGCCATGGGACAGTTGTGTGGTACAAGGTATGCGGTGCCATATATGGGGCGCAATCGACATTGCGCAATACACGTTTCGCAGCCGGCGTGGTGCAAGTGGCGTTATGCATTCTGTCGTGTTCGACGCGTGCGAGTGCAGGCTGCGTGGTGCAATGCCTGCGCGCGCCAGCACAATTCAGCCAGTGCACTGTCCTCGGGCGCACTCGCACCTCATGCGGGGCGCTGGACGTGCAGCGGCACCGTGCTTGCGAGGTCGCCCGCTTCTGCGACCGTTTGACTATCTGCAGAGTCTGTCACCGCACCAGAGAGAGAGAGAGAGAGATGATATATATATATATATATATATATATATATATATAACAACAAAAAAGAAAACAAAAAAAAAGCCCGTGCACGAGGCGCCCGCGGGCTCCCTCCGAAAGCCCAGGAACGCCTGCCAGCGCCCCAGGCGCCCACGGGCGCCCACCGGCCGAGCACGGGGAGTCACCAGCCAGCGCCGAGCGAGGCGCTCACGAGGCGCCCACGTGTGCTGAGTCGGGCACGTCCTTCTGCAGGAGGAATATTCAAAGACAGTCAAAAAACAGTCTGGGGACATGTTTTAACTATTTTGGGCACGTTTTGATTCTTTTTCCAGTTTTTGCATCTTCCGTCCAAAGTCCGCCTGTAGGGGGACATGCCCGACCTAACTTTTTTTTGCCCACCAGCTGGAAGCCCGGTAAAAGAAGTTGCCAGCGGAATCGCTCCTGGGAAGGCCGTGCGCCCGGTGTCGCCGACCCTGCATGCTAGGATTAGAGCGGGCCTGTCCCTCTACAGGAGGGATATGCAAAAACAGTCATAAAAATAGTCGGGGCACGATGCTTTGAATATTTCTGTGCATTTTTGGAGTATGTTTTGAGTGTGTGTTCACTGTTCACTCAAAAGCTCCCTGTAGGGGGACAGGCCCGAACCATATGCTAGGAGGCGAGACAGATGGAACAGGTGTGCGAAGAGTAGGAGGAGGAGGAGGAGGAACATGTAGATATGGTGATACCGATAGACTTCGTTAGTGGTTTAGACAGGTCGATAGTGGTATCGATCGAAGGACAGACGCATATGGGGTTGCGCGCTACACGGAGGCGGCTGTTCCGATTGCTGTTCCGTCGTGAGTTTGTACATCTGTGTGGTAACGTTTGGGGGAGGAAGGGGGGGAGGACGAGAGGGAGGACGAAGGTGGAGAAGAAGAAGAAGAAGGAGGCCTCTAGAGAGCCTCTTCGGGCACACTGTGAGGCGCCTTGGGGGCTTCTGTGAGGCGTCTTGGGGGTATCCTCGGACCTCTTCGGGGTCTTTGGAGGCTTCTTGGGGGCCCCTTTGGCCGTCTGAGAACGTTGCTGGGCCTGTCTGACGCCGTCGGAAGCCATCGTGGGGGCCTCTCTGAACAGACTTGGGGCTTCCTTGGGGCGCTCCAGGATCTTCTTGGGGGCCACCTGGGGCGCCTTGGAGGCCTCTTTGGCAGTCTAGTGGCCCTCTGCCGTTTGGCTGGCCTACTTGGCGGTCAGAGGCCATTTTGAATTTTCTTTCAGCCGACTTAGCCGTCTTGAAGGCATCGTTGGGGCTCTTTTGGGGCCATCCTGGTCGGCGAGGAGGGGGGTCACAACCCCGGGCTGAGACCCCCACCCTGCGACCCCCCCCCCCCCGGCGGGGAAGGGATCAAAGGGAAGCGGCTCCCCTTTCGGAGGAGGAGGGCTCAGGGAGGGGGGGGAGAATGGCGAGGCCGATCACGACGACGACGACGACGACAACGACGACGACGACGACGCTTGAGGAGGAGGGCCCAGGGAAGGGGGGGGGAATGGCGAGGCCGACCACGACGACCACGACGGCGGCGGCGACGACGGCCAGCGCACGAGGCGCCCACCACCCGACGGCAAGCATTCTCAGGAGGGGAAAAACACACAGACACAATTCATCTGCGATTCCCAGAAAATATAGGAAAATAAGGGAAGTGGGGGGGAAGACAAAAACCCAGAAAATATGGGAAAATATGGGGACTATTTTTATTTGTGTGTATTTATTTGTGTGTCCTAATTTCTCTTTACATTTGGGATTCACGCTGGTCGTTGAAAGTAGGTATTTTGGGATTCCCAGATCCTGCAGTGCAAGCACCATTTGGGATGCACGCCGGTCGTTGAAAGTAGGTCTTTTTTGGAGTCCCAGATCCCAGTCTGCTTCGAGCGCCTTCCTACTTCCAGAGTCGGCATGCTCTTGCTGTGTTCTGTCATTCTCGGGGAGGGCCTGGGTCCAATCCACTTTATCCGCCTTCCTACTTCATGTTTTTACCCACCTCTTCCGACCGACGTGTAACTTCTGGTTTGGGGAAGGAGTTGGCCAACGAGCAGTTCGAGCGGGAGCTTCGCAAGGTTCACCAAGCTGGGAATCTCCGCTCTTGGCTGGAGTCGCAGAAGAAGCCTTCTCTGGTAGCGTGGTTGAAGTCGAAGCGGTGGCCTACTCAGGGGACAAAGGCCGACATCGTTACTCGCGTACAGTACGTCTTCCAGGCGTCGATTAACACTTGAGAGGGCTCTGTCAGGGATGCATTTGTCAGTTTGCTTCCCATGCCTGCATGATTGGCCTGCGGGAGATATGGAGGTCGGGGGTGGGATTCGCTTGCGGCAAACACGGAGACCGAGGGTCTGGGACTTGCCTCCGCACATCACACTGTCCTCACATGCAGGTTCAGATGCGAAGGAACTCGAGCCAACCATAATCCACATCCAACCATCGTGCAAGCATAATTGACGATCGTAGTTACAGTTGTATGTGCAATTCAAGAGTTTCAGGACCGTTCAGTGTTACTTCAAGTTGGATCGCACATGATTATGAACAAGTTCAAATTCCGTTTCAGTTGAAACTGGTAAGCCCGAATCTCAGTCTTATTTATATATGTTTATGTACGCAGAACACGCATTACTGTAGGTTGGTTCGTGTGGTGTCGACGCCACTGCGATCCCAGTACGGGCGCTCAAGGTTGAGCGCTGCCGGTACACATATCAGGACTCTGCCAAGGTGCCAGCAGCGCACTCCGAGTGGCGCCCCGCCGGTCACCGCTCGCAAGGGCGTCACCCGTGACACCTCTCGTCTGCACTTCTTGAGGAGCTCTAGTGGGGCCGTATTGGCGCTCCCTTGACCAGTTGGGCCCGCGATGGGCCGTCTTGACGCCTGGTTACTGGGATGTCTTGGGGCTCTCTTGGCCGTCTGGGGGATTTCTCGATACGATCGGAGTGGATACGGAGGGAATGGGTACGAAGACCGACAGCAGTTCTTGTTCATTTTAGGCCGGGCTTGCTGTCGGTGTCCTCGCGGATGGTTTCATTTGAAGCAGAAGGCCGGGTGCCCAATAACGAACCATGTCGGTTGGGGGCAGCATTTTTGTTGGGCATCGTGCCCATGTGTTCTCAGCCTCTGTCTGATTGTCTGTTTGTATCCGTCGTCTGCTTGTCTGGCGTCTGTCTCCCCGTCGCCTCTTTGGGTCGGGAGCAATGCCCCAACGACCCCGCTACGACCCCCCACCTCCCAAGACGCCCCCTGAGACCATGCAGCCATTGTAATGCCACGTTGCCATGTCTCCAACGTGAATATGAACTTCTGATCGACCTCGAGGGACGGCGGACGGAGTCCACGAGGGAGATGCGATGGTGGAGGACGAAGGCTTCGAAGGATAAGAAGGGCGAGGAGGAGGAGGAGCAAGAGGAGGACACTCAGCTTGAAGCACATGCCTGCCTCGGTCAATGACAGAAGACCAAAACTAGTTGTAGGACAGCACAGCTGTCCATTCAATGCGGATGCAATCGGGAAGCAAACTCGTGTCAACCGAGATCAGATGGGAGAGTACGACATGTGAGTCAGTACAGTGCGGCATGTATCCTCTTCCGTGGCACGATGGCGACCCTGACACACGATCTCCTGGCTGAAGCGCCACACCCCCGGCCTCCAGGGCACGCTGCACGTCGGTCACCCTAGGTGCCTGCTCCTGGCCGACCTCTCCTCCCCCCTGCTCACGCAGAGCACCCCCGGGCAACTCTTCCGTGCGCAGTGGCCCCATCGCGGCGCCCGAGCGGCGAGCCGGGCCTGCCCGCAGTCGTGCTCGCACTGTGAGGCCCTCGCCGCTCGACCGGCGGACGCCTCCGCTCGCGGGGGGCGCGGCGGGGCCCGATGCCCGCGCCGCGCGCGTGCCGCCTGACTCGTATGGCGGCCTCCTGCGGATTCAAATACGGTAGGTTTGCGTCGTGTCGACCCGCGGCGACCCCAGCGCGGGCGTTCAAGGTTGAACGCCGCCGGCGACCCAGAATCGATCGATGTTGAACGATCGGACGTTGCGGCAGCGGCCGATCGTTCAAGGTTGAACGATCCCTGCGGAGTCAAAAACCAACGCTGGGGTCGGCACGACACGAACCTGCCGTATACACGCCAGTCGTTGAAGGCAGGTGTCTTTGGATTGCCAGATCCCAATCTGCTTCAAGCGCCTTCCTACTTCAAGAGTCGGCACGCTCTTGCTGTTTTTTTTTCTGTCATTCTCTGGGAGAGGGCCTGGGCCCGATCCGCTGTATCCGCCTTCCTACTTCATGCTTTTACCTACCTCTTCCGACCGACGTGCAACTTCGGTTCAACAGTTACACGCCGGTCGTTGAAAGTAAACATTGGTGGATTCCCAGATCCCATTCTTTTTCAAGCGCCTTCCTATTTCAAGAATCAACATGCTTTTGCTGTGTTTTGTTACTCTCTGGGAGGACCTGGACCCAATCCACTCGATCCGCCTTCCTACTTCATGTTTTTACCTACTTCCGACCGGCGTGTACATGTATCGCGGAGGCGTCCAAGTCCGATGAGCCTGCTTTCCACCACCACCACCACCAGAAGTTGGAGGGAGGAGGGAGGTGGAGGACGAGGAGGAAGAAAAAGAGGAGGAGGAGGAAGAAGAGGAGGAGGAGGAGGAGGAGGAGGAGGAGGGCCCCCTCCCCCTCCTTCTCATGGTGGTGGTAGGGAACACGAGCCCACCAGAGTCCGCCGCCTGCCTCGCGGGCACACGCGCGGCACGGCGGCGCCCTCGACGCTCCGGGGGCCTGCCTGCCGCGCAGGCCGAGGGGTCGCCGCCGGCGCGCTCGGGCACGGGCGGCCGGAGCTCCGCGCGCGCCGCGGGCGTGCCTAGCAGCTAGGGGGCCGAGGCCCAGCAGCACTCTGACGGGGCAAGTGCGCGGGGCGAGGTCCAAAAAGACGGATCGGGGGCGGAAAAGAGGGGGAAGTGATGACTAGGGGGGGGGGTGGATATCATGGCGGGGGCCATGATATTTCCCCAGATCTCGTGGCGCCTCTTCTTATTTCATTACGTCCCTGGCTCCCCCGCTGGGCCGCGCACATGCCGCCTGTCATGATTTGCACCCCCCCCTCTTGGACACCCCCCTCTTGGCCGCTCCCGAAAAAAGACGGATCGGGAGCAAGTGTTTTAAGTCGGGCGTGTCCCTCTACAGGAGGAAGATATTCCAAGATAGTCACAGAATAGATCGTCTGGGGACGACATGTGAAGCCATGTTTGAGCATGTTTCATGTTTATTCTGATATTACTGGTCGTCCAAAAATCCGTCTGTAGGGGGGCATACCCGACCTAATTAAAACAAGTTGATGCTTGGTGTGTTCGTTGGTCTTCGTCATGCCCATGTGGCGGCACTTGTTGTCCTCGCTCTCGGTTGGGAGCGAGGGGGTGGTGGGGCAACGAGCAAAAGAAGGGCGAGTGTCGAGCAAGAGGTAGGAAGGAAGCTGGATGAGGAGGAGGAGGAGGAGGACGACGACGGCGACGAACGTGATCAGAGTGAAGATGACGAGGGAATGATCAGAATTTTGCTCGAAGAGAAGAGGAGGGTGGAAGAGGAGGGGGCCGAATTGTGGGGGACCAGCAGCATCGTCAGCAGGGGAAGGGGGAAGTGTCAGGACTTCACTGGTAGCCCTCCTCGCTCATGAACGTGCGGATTTGCCGTCGGGGGGTTATCGCCGATCAATCGGCGATTTTGCCAGCACATCATGGGAGCCTGGTGTATTCTCGTAATGATGTCTTTGGAGTGCACTCGCGTCGATTCGCGTCTGGTAGTCGATGAGACAGTGCGATTGATCGTCGGTTAGCGTCGGTCTGGCGTCGATTAGCATCGATTTAGCGTCGACGAGCGTCGATTCGCAAGCGCGGACAAGATGGCATGGGAGGCTCCCATGAGTTGCCACCGAAGGCTTATCGCCGATCAATCGGCGATGTATCGCCGATTGCAGGTCGTTGTTTCCCTCACCCAGGAGCCTGCCCCAGGCCCGAACGCTTCTTGCAACAGCGATGAAAGCGGAAGCCCGTTGAGTGAACGAGAACGTTCAAGACGGGAGTGACACAATGCGCGACGCAACGACTTCCGCCATTCGGACGCCCCAGCTAGGGTCGTGGGAGGAAGGCTCATGGCGCCAACATCGCAGAGCGGGGTTCGTTCGGAAAACGATCGGGTGGGCCCGGGGTGTCCTGGAGAATTTCGTTTCCGATTTCGAGGTGGATTTCGTGCGCTTTTTGTTGGGCCAGGAGTGAAGACCAAACAACAATCCACGCGAAAATCACTTCGTTTTTCGCTCGCTGCTTCGGGCAGAAATCCACACCGAATCCCACTACAGAATTCGCTCGCTGCTTCGGGCAGAAGCCCGCTACAGCGTGTCTGCAGGGCCGGTGCAATGAGAAGGCGCATCCTTATCCGCGGCCTCGCGGGCCGGGCCCCCAGCCTGCGACCTCGCGGATACGGGGCGTTTCGCGGTTGCCCCGCGCGGAGCGTCCCCGTGCGACCGCGCATGCGATCGCGCCCCCGAACCCAGGCCGCGGCGGCGCGGGTGCGGATGCGTCCGCCGCTCGAGGGAAGGGGCCAAGGCTCATGGCGCCAACATCGCAGAGCGGATTTCGTTCGGAAAACGATGGGATGGGCCAGGAGTGTCCTGGAGAGTTTCGTTCCAGATTACGAGGTGAATTGCGTGCGGATTTCTCCTGGCCAGGAATGAAGACCAAAAAGCATCCACGCGAGATTTGCTTCGTGCTTCGCTCGCCGCTTCGGGCAAACATTCACGCAGAAATCCGCTGCAGCACGTCTGCAAGGCCGGTGCAATGCCAAGGCAGGGGGGGGAGGATGAGGAGGAGGAGGAGCAGGAGGAGCTGGAGGAGGAGGAGGAGGACGAGGAGGAGGAGCAGGAGGAGGAGGAGGAGGAGGAGGAGGACGAGGAGGAGGAGCAGGAGGAGGAGGAGGAGGGGGAGGAGGAGGAGGAGGAGGTAAGGTGCCAAGGCTTGTGATCCTCCTCCGCTCGATCCTCTTGAAGGGGGCCCGGCGCAGAGGCGGCGCCCTCCGAGCGCTCTTTTTTGAGTCGGGCGTCGTCCCTCGACATGAGGAATGTCCATAAATACCGGGTATAGCCAGGACCCCAGGTAAGGGGACCCGGTTAGTAGTAGGTCCCCCGAGCCCCTATAAATTGGCCAGAATCATTCAACCAGGTCTGCCGAGGCTGGTGCTTTTCGGGTGACGGCAGTTCCGGTCAGTGGAAGGGGGCGGGGGGGGCGTCCCCCGGTACACATCACTAAACCAGATCCCACCAAACCCAGTTCTGCCAACGCCCGATTTGAGTCGGGCGTTGTCCCTCGACATGAGGAGTATCCATAAATCGTAAAAACATCGTCTGGGGACGATGTTTTGATTATTTTCTGGCCAGTTTTGAAGTGTTTTTTTTGGTCTCGTTTTGATGTATCGTCCCACATCCGCCTCTCGGAGGGCGTGCCCGACCTCGGAGCCGGTCCTGGCCTCCCCGGGCATCCGATGTCCCGAGCTGCTCGGCACGTGTGGTGCCCCCGAGCTCGGCGGCGAAGTCCGAACCCTGCCCTCGCCGATCGACGATACAGGTCGCTCGATGGGCGGCGGGGCCAGGGTACGTCAGGAGGGGAAAAAACACACAGACACAATTATTCTTCGATCCCCCAGAAAATATGGGAAAATATGGGAAGTGAGGGGGAAGACAGAAACCCAGAAAATATGGGAAAATATGGGGAATCCTTTTATTTGTGTGTATTTATTTGTGTGTCGTGGGGCCCCTTTAGTACGTGGCAACATCCGAGCCCTGCCCCCGCCTCCCATCGACTCGGGAGAATCGAGGGTTGGAGGGGGCAGGGTCCGGACGTCGCCACCTACGATGAGGTCGGGCGTGTTCCTCTGCAGGAGGGAAGTTCAAAAATAGTCAACAGAATTGTCTGGGGACGATTTTTTCAAATCATGTTTGAGCATTCTTGGAATATGTTTTGAGCTGTTTCAAGTGTTTCGCCCAAAATCTCCCTGTAGGGGGACAGGCCCGAACTAAACCTGTGAGCTGCCCCGACCCCATCTCTGGGTCGTCCCGAGTCGTTGTGTTGATCTCCCTGGGGCCTGGCGATGGAGGCCCACAATGGCGTGTTCCTCGCCCCCCTCCCGCCTGACGTGTCCTCCTCGCCGCGCGCTGCTACGACTTGGAGCCCTGGACCCCACCTCTCTGCTGCATTTGTCGATTCGGACCGATCTGTGGTGGTCCCAGGGTTCAGTCGGGCCTGAGGGATTTTCAGAAATAGCAAAACAGTAGTCTGGGGACGATGTGTTTCTATGTTTCGGGGGAGCGTAAGACCCGGGTTTGCCAGGACTCGGGTTTGCCATCGTTTTTTGACGACCGCGTCTCGGATTTTGACGAGGAGGAGTTTCGTGGGATGTCTGCAGCGGGAGGCCTCGTCAAAATGCAGGCTCGGCCTCGCCATTTTTTTGACGACCTCGTCGGGGATTTCCGAGTCCCCTGTACCCAGGTCTTACGTCCCCCTGAATGTTGTAGCATGTTGGGAGCATATTTAACTATGTTTGCATGCTTCGCCCAAAATCCCCCTGTAGGGGGACCATGCCCGAGCGAATCCCGGGGCCCGGAGCCGGGCGGAGACGCCCGGAGCGCAACAATGGCAGCGCCCGGATCTCGGGAAGCGCGGCGCGGCGTGCCGCCAAGACGCTGAGATAGGGAACGATTTGGATCCGGACCCAGACCCCCTCGAATAAGGAACAAAAATCATGACGGGAGGTTTTTCTTAATTTTCGGCCCCCGGGGGCCCTCACCGGGCCTCGGGAGCGTCAAAAAACGACTCAGGATGCAGAGCCGGTCCTGGGGAAAGGGTCGGGACCTTTGGGGGTCGACGTAATGAAAAAATCATTACGTCGGGGGTCTGGGGAAGGGGCTCGATGTTCCTCATGTTCCTCCTTTGCTGTTCCTCTTGCCCTCCTCGGGCATGGAGGCGCTTTAAGGGCCAAAAGGGGGCGTCGTTCCTTGTGTAGCGCTCCTTCTTTCAGCGGCCCGACTGCAGTCGGCACGAACGAAGTGGGTACGGAAAGAATGGGTACGATGCCCAACGCCAGTTCCTGCTCTTTTTGTACAGGACTCGCTGTCCGCGCCGCCGCGGCCTGTGTCCATTTGAAGCAGAAGGCCGCCTGCCCAACAGCGGCCGATGTTGGTTTGGGACAACATTTGTGGTTGGGCATTGTACCCATCCTTTCCGTACCCATTTTCGGGGGCGGAAAAGAGGGGGGTGATGACTAGAGGGGGGTGGATATCATGGCGCGGGCCATGATATCTCCCCAGATCTCGTGGCGCCTCTTCTTATGTCATTACGTCCCTGGCCCCCCCGCTGGGCCGCGCACATGCCGCCGGTCATGATTTGCACCCCCCCCCTCTTGGACACCCCCCTCTTGGCCGCTCCCGACATTTCGGGCGTCCAAGTGTAGTTTCTCCTTGCCCCCCTCGCGCTCGACGCGTGCCCTCCCCGCCGCGCCTCTGCGCCTCCGGCCAGGCGCTCGAGGGGGCGGTCGAGGGCGGCAAGGGCCCGGTGGACCTGCAGGCGCTGCGGACGATGTACAAGGAGGGGGGGGGGGCGATCGAGGAGATTTTGAGGGCCTCGGCCTCCTCCTCCTCCTCCTCCTCCTCCTCCTCCTCCTCCTCCTCCTCGTCCTCCTCCTCCTCCTCCTCCTCCCCTCCTCCTCCTCCTCCTCCTCCTCCTCCTCCTCCTCCTCCTCCTCCTCCTCCTCCTCCTCCTCCTCCTCCTCCTCCTCCTCCTCCCCCCCCCACCCTGGGGGGGCCTGAGGGGGGCAGTCGAGGAGGTTTTGAGGGCCTCGGCCTCCCCGCTCCCATCCTCCTCCGACGGCGGTCGCGCCGCCGGGCGTGCGGAGGCGCCCCCGGGGCACGACCCCTTCAGGCGCGCCAGGCAGCGGGAAACAGCGAGGGGGGGCGGTCCGCCATCCACCGTGCCGGAAGGTGGTGTTCGGCGGATCTGGGGCCCATCACCACCCACCAAACCACCCCCCAACCCAACCCGAAGGCTCAGATTTACCCTCGATTTCTAGTGGGGGGGGGGTCGGGACACCTCGAGGAACCACGCGTGGAACCCGTACCCCCCCCCCAACGCGAAATGCGGGTCTTCGGGTTGGGTTGGGGTGGTCAGCCCAGGCTGGCACCAGACGCGCCGCCGTGCCGCTCCGGCGCCCCGCTGGGCACGAGCCCGAGCCCTCGAGAGTGGGCCTCTGCGCCCGGGCGCCCCCTCCCCCCTCGGACGCCCGCCTCCCCGCTCGGGGGGATCGCGGCGTGCCGCACGCGCCCGAGCTCTGCGTCTGTTCGCGGGAGCCTCGGACGGCGGCAGTGAGAGCAGCTGTTCTCCTGCATTTGGACCGCGCGACGGCGACAGCGACCACGGCGTCCACGGCGACGTGCGACGACGGCGACCGCGTCGACCACTTCGACAACGGCGACGGCAGCTACGGCGACCGCGGCGACCACGGCGACCACGGCGACGGCGAATGCCGAATGCGGAGGCGGCGACGGCGGAGGCGAAGAGTGGTTGACGGCCAGGGCCCTCGGACATGCTCTTTGCGCAGGGCGGGGCAAGGGGCGCGGAGGAAGAAGGGGAGGGGAAGGAGGAATCTCTTTGTTGCAATGGTGGGGAATTTTGTCCATGAGCGACATGGGCTGTCGATTCGAGGTTATCGATGCCACGTACAGCGGGAGGCCACAAGCTCCAGATTGTCAAGGAATGTAGGTCCCCGCGAGGCGCCGGAAGTTCTTCCAAACTGTCACTGACTCAACACCCACACCTTATTATTCTCCCCATTTTCCCTTCCCAGCCTCCTCACGAGAAGTCGCAGTAACGCATCCCCACCGTCTGACAGAAACTCTGCCGCTACCTGATGCAAGCTCCATCACAGGTCTCAGCGATCCTGCTTGCCTGCAGTGAACCCTATCGCTCCATGACGTCTACCGCGAAGCTGACCCCAGATTGTGCCATGAAGGGGTTGTGTTTTCTGCGGCCGCCACGGCGTGTCATGGAGGAGGGCAGCAATCCTGCTTTGACATGGGCTGAGAGCCGCTCGTACACGGTGCGCCGTGCGCCATCAACGAACGTCACGTCAAAAATGAGGCAACGAAAGCGCACGCAGTGCCACACATAGCATGCTACCGAGGTCCCTGCAGGAGCACCAGCTGAGGAGCGGAGATCGCGCAGGAGAACCCCGAATCTCCAGCCACCCGCGACCTTTCCACCCTCCTCCTCGTCCACCCCCCCTCCATCCTCCTCTTCCATCCCCCTCCTTATAGATAACTCCTCCTCCTCCTCCTCCTCCTCGTCCATCCTCCTTTTCCATCCCCCTCTTGTCCTCCATTCCTTCTTCCTTATAGATAACTCCTCCCTGTCGCACCCCGAGGCCGGTCGAAAGGGCAGGCTGGGCGTTTCGCTTGAGACTCAGGAGGGAAAAAAACACACAGACACAATTAATCCTCGATTCCCAGGAAAATATGGGAAAATATGGGAATTGGGGGGGAAGACAAAAACCCAGAAAATATGGGAAAATATGGGTTATATTTTTATTTGTGTGCATTTATTTGTGTGTCCTAATTTCCCTTTAGAGACGCCCTTCACCAGTTATGACCCTGATGCTCACAGAGTGGCCACGACAGTTTCACAGACGGAGGGCCGGTGGTTTTCAAGCTGTGGATCTCGCCCTAGGGCTGCGCGCATTCGTATCAAATCTCTGCAAGAACTTCACGGATTGAGGGCGTGTCGTTTTCAAAAACCGGTTTTCGCTTTAGCGCCGTGCACATTCGTTCTTAAACATTGTGAGAGCTTCCACGGATTGACGGCGGGTCGTTTTCAGAATTTGGTTCTGTTTCACGGACTGAGGGCGGGTGGGCGGAGCGCACATTCGTTGTAAAACATTGCAAGAGCTTGGCCAATCGAGGGCGGTTCCTTTCCAAAATGGGGCTCTCGCTTCAGCGCCGCGCACACTAGTATCAAACATGTGCAAGAGCGTCACGGATTGAGGGCGGGTCGTTTTCTGAATGCGGTTCTCGCCTTCGCGCCGCGCACATTCGTTCTTTTAAAGATTGCAAGAGGTTCTACGGCTTGAGGGCGCTTCGTTTTCAAAATGTGGTTCTCGCCTCAGCGCCGCGCGCATTCCTTTTAAACAGTTGCAAGAATTATAAGATGCTTCTCATGGCTAGCGTACCAGGAATTGCGTCGTGGAGCAACTCAGGGTTTTCAGGGTTCGACAGTCACACGCCGGTCGTTGGAAGTAGGTACTTTTGAATCCCCAGATCTCAATCTACTGCAAGCGCCTTCCTACTTCAAGAATCGGCATGCTTCTGCTGTGCTTTGTTATTCTCTGGCAGGGCCTGGACCCAATCCACTTTATCCGCCTTCCTACTTCATGTTTTCGCCTACTTCTTCCGACCGACGTGTACCTTGATTCGCGGTGTTGAAGTCCGAGGAACGGTGTTCCGGCACGATTCAGGATCACCAAGGCGTGACCGTCAGAGTAACTCGTGGCGTTTACGTCCTGATGACGTTTTGTTTGCACGCTTCAAAATGTTTTGGGGGTGGACAGCCCTCCTACCCTGACACGTCGATTAGCGAATTGGCCGTTCTCGGTTCGCGAGGGGGCGTCGCGGCCGTCATTTTTGCGGGTCCAGGTCCGTCGGTTTCGGTCCCAGGCCGTTTTCACTAAGGGGAGGTTTACTAAAGGGAGGTTTGCCCACCGCCGAAGGTTCACACGGTTTTCCCCCAACGGTGCAATTCCATCCGTGGAAGGGATTTGTTGTAGGGGATTATGAGGAGGGATCTTGGATCTTGGAGGGAGGGTGTATTTCAACATCGTTGATGGGTTCTCCTCCTTCTCCTTCTCCTCCTTCTCCTTCTCCTCCTTCTCCTCCTTTGGAGGAGGGGTGTACTTCAACATCGTTGATGGGTCTTTGGTTTACGCTGGTTCTCCTCCTCCTCATCCTGCAGTCCGTGCTGCCTGGGCAGCGTGCGTGGCCCCATCTCCGCAAAGGGCAACCCGTGAGTTGGCGATTCCGTGGACCGCCTTCGTTTTGGTTTCATTTTGCGGCAAAGGCGGAGCGTAGACAGAACGAGGGAGAACGAACACAAACTAAAATCGAAAACCAATTTCTGACCACATCCACCTCTGGATCCTCGATTCTATGATAGGCCCTCGGGGGTGGAAGTGGGTAGTTTTTCCTTCCCCTGGGGCGGGGAAATTGCCCACCTCCACCTCTGGAAACCGCTTTTCGCAAGGCACCTCGGGAAGTGGGTGTGGTCAGAAATCGGTCTCCCATAAAACGGACAACGCTGTTTGGTTCGCGTTTTGGTGCCGAGCAACTTGCCTGAGCTCCCCGCGCAGTGCTCACTGCTCGTTGCTCTCGTCCCTGCTAACGACGGCCTCCCTACTGTAACCCCCCCTCGCTCCACCTCCCGCCTCCCCGGGCAACCTTCCCCTTGCATCGACCAGCATGCATATTCACGTCCACCCGGCGAGGAGTGGCCGTGGTTCAATACCACGATCGACCTCATCGAGGTGATCATCGCCAAGTCCGAGAAGAACATCGCGGCGTACTACGACAGGCCGTGCGGCCGCTCCATCAGCGGATGGAATTGTTCGAAGCACAACAAAAAACGCGCAAACATGCTGCCTCGGAGCTCCGCTTGGATTTCTTGGATCGGCGTTGGGCCACCCCGGCGGCGCCTCCGTCGCCGCCCCTGGCGCGCTCCGCACGTCATGGAGGGGGGCCTGCGCCGATGCAAGAAGTCCGCGCGGAGCTCCGAAAGTTTCGACTTACGCAACTGACTGATTGTTGTGGTATGCGATGTCTTTCCCCGCAGCTCTGGAGCGCAAGCTCGCAACCTGGCTCCAGGAAGTCGCCCTGGGAAGGGTGGAGCTGTGAAGGCAACATTGCCTTCGGCTGTGCGGCGCTACGTGCAGATCAACGTTCGAAATTCGAGAGGGGTTCCCTCCACCCCATCCTTGTACGTAAATGGATCCACCCTTTCAGGATGATGTCCGTTCCGACGAGGCGAGAGCGAGCTTCTGGAAAGCAGTTTCCATCCATCAGCGATGTTGCCCATCAGTTTCTGTTTAGGCTACGCACGTCCGGAAGAGGTCTAGAGGACGAATTCGAAAGGACCTGTTTTGTTTGCGGTTTTGAGCGTTAGGCTCGTAAACCGTAATCTGAAGCCCCCAGCGAGAGCTCCAATTTCAAATGGTACGCGTTTTTGTTTTTGCAGTTGATGGCGAGTCCACATCCGGGGTCATATCTTATCTGAAGAGCGTTGCCTTGGCCGCCGCGGCCCAAGTGGGGCCTCTTGGACAGTTATCGAGGCCACCTTGCGATTTCTTTGCGCTTGCAAATGGGGCCATCTGGGAGGCTGTCGCGTACAGATTAGGGTATCTGGGCTCTTGAGGGGAGGGGGCTTGTTTCAAGGCTTCCTGAGGGCAGCTTTTCACAGGAGTATCTGCTCAGGCGATCGCAAACATAGATCAAGGGGAGGTGGATTAGCGACGGGTCCCGTTTCCACGGGACGGCGCGGATCTCCGCCGCTGAGCGAGGCCGCACCGGCCGCATTTTGGGGAGGGCATTTCGCCCGATCCATGGATTTGGCGACCGCGCGCCAGATCCATGGATCGCTAATCCATGTTTGCGCGCCCCCGATCTGTGTGCGATCTTGGAGAGAGCCTCCTCTGGGGCCTGCTCGGGGCTCTCTTCGGCGACGCTGGTGGTATTCTGCCGCCGCGGGGCAAGCAGCCGCACACAGTTTTTGTTCCATGATTTTCGGCCTCCAGGGTCCTATTTGTCGCGACGGCAGGTTTTTCGTTATTTTCGCCTCCAGGGGCCGTCAAACAAAGATTCAGGATGAAGAACTGGTCCTGTGGACAGGGTTCAGACCTCTGTGTGGGTCGACGTTGGGCCATGTCGGGGCATCTTCAGAGGAGAACATGCGACTAGCAGTTATCATTAAGGTAGTAAAAACATAGTCAGGGGACGTTGTTTGGTGTTCCCCAATCAGTGCTTGCACTGAAGGGGTCCTCGTGGATGTTGAAGGATTTTGCGATAAATTCCCGCCGATTCTGCTTGGGTTCCCAGGTTCAGGGTTCTGGGTTCCCGGGTTCCCGGTTCCAGGGTCCGGGCCGATTTCGGAGCGCGGATGTTCCCGGGTTCCCGGCTTTTCGGTCGATCTTTTCATCGATCGGTCTCACCATCGATCTCATTACCCATTTCTCTATCGATCCCACCATCGATCTCACAATCGAACTCATTATCGATCTCACAAGCGATCTCACTAGAGATCGCATTAGCGATCTGGCGATCGATCTCACTATCGATCTCACTGAACCGCTTTCCTTCTCGGTCTCAAGATCGACCATACAATCGTCCTCACTATCGCCTCCACTATCGATCTCATTATCCATCTCAAAGTCGATCTCAGATCCATAGTTTTAATTTCCAACTCATCCGCTGACTTTGTTTTCTCAGGTTAACTATTATTTTTGAGCATGTTTTGAATATTTCTTTGTAGTTACAATGTTTCGCCCAAAATCCCCCTGCAAGGGGGACAGGCCCGACCTAAAGCTATCAGAAGACATCGAACTGAACCGGTGCTTTCCCCGTGTGCGGTGCCTCCTCGGAGTGTCCTGGGATTTGTTTGGAGCGGGGGGAGGGGGAAGGAGGGAGGGAGGGAGGGAGGCAGAGAGGGGGAGGGAGGAGGAGGAGGAGGAGGAGGAGGAGGAGGAGGAGGCGGAGGAGGAGGAGGAGGAGGAGGAGGAGGAGGAGGAGAGGGGAGGAGGAGGAAGGAGGAGGAGGAGGAGGAGGAGGAGGAGGAGGAGGAGGAGGTGGAGGAGGAGGAGGAAGGAGGCGGGAGGAAGAAGGAGGGAGGAAGGAGCTGGACTTGGAATTGGAGTCCCAGCACGGAGCGTTCGTGAGACCCTCTTGGAGCGACCCGGTGCTGCCTCGCGGCCGTCCTGGGCGGTCTCAGGCTCTCGGGGCCGTCCTGGCGGCGGTCCTTCTTTGACATCCTGGGGCAACCTGGCGGTCCTCCTCCTCCTGCTCTTCCTCCTCCTCCTCCTCCTCTTCCTCCTCCTCCTCCTCCGCCTCCTCTTCCTTCTCCTCCTCCTCCTCCTCCTCCTCCTCCTCCTCCTCCTCTCCTTCTCCTCCTCCGCTCCTCCTCCTCCTCCCTCCTCCTCCCTCCTCCTCCTCCTCTCCTCCTCCTCCTCCTCCTCCTCCTCCTCCTCCTCCCACTCCTCCTCCCACTCCTGGAGCGGTACAGCCGCGCGGAGAGGGGTGGCAGGGGGAGTCTTAGAAGGCGTGGGCCTTCTCTGTAGATGCGAGGCCGGCGCCTTCCAAGCAGCAGCCTGCTCCCCCCATGCCACCTCGTGCGCGCGGCCAACAATGGACCTCCCTGCTTCTTGCGCGGGTGATCTTGCGACGACGGTGAAACTCCTGGGCCCGCTCGAGGCCGCCCTCTTTGGGCGGACTGCGAGCAGTTTCTTGCCGCGAGTTGGGAGTTACTTCTTGCCTTTTGCCCCCCCCCCCCCCCCCCCCCCCCGAGTAGTGGACTGGAGACAAGTTTTCAGAGTCCCGAATCATCAGGGGTAGCTCGGGTGAGGGCTAACTCGGGTTCGTTTTTCGGGATTCCGAACCCGAGTTACCCCAGGCCCGAGTTACCCCGGGTAATTCGGGCGTCCAGAGCCCCAAATCAGCAGTGGTAACTCAGGTCAGGGCTGATTCGGGGTCGTCTTGCGGGGATCCAAACCCGAGCTACCCCGGACCCGAGTTACCCAGGATAACTCGGGCGCCCAAGGTTTGGGAAGACGAGGGACGGAACTCAAGAGGCAGGGCGAGGCAGGGGCGACGGCAATAGACCACAGCTGGGGGCAGCTTCGCAGCCCGGCGCCCTCAAGTGCGGCCGCTGAAGATGTCTGTTCGGGCCCCTACGCTGCGAGGAAGTCTCGGACGGCCATCTCGAAATACGTTTGGAGGGTATCTCGGACGAGGCGCTCGTCCCGCTCCGCCGACGAGTCTGGTGGTGCGACGAGTCAGGGCGACTTAGCGATCGGAGGGGGAAGCATACAGATTCACAGAATCGTCGACTCCCAGGAAATATGGACGACATTCGAAGTTGAGGGGGGGGGGCGCGAGAATCCAGAACATTAGGAAACGTGCCTCTTTACTAACGATTGCAAGGGAGCGGAATGGATGAAGAGGAGCGGCAAGGGGAGGTGATCAGACACAAGGGGGAGGACGAGGCGGAGGATGTCCGCACGTAGTCATTTGGCTCAAGGCACGCCGGTTCAAGAGAATGTCGCCCCAGCCAGGCTTGTTGAGCGTGCTGGGTACGGCCAAAAGGGTCCACTGGTCTCCCGAACAGCAAGGCCATGTCCACCGGGCACTCGCAGCATGAGCCAGGCTCGCTCTGGCACCTCTTCGAATTCGGCGCAAACTTTTCGAAGATCTCCACGGTCATGCTGCACGTCCTCCCGGTGCTCTGCCTCCCCGCCAGCCCGCTCGCCGATGGCACCACGGCGGCCTCCGCGCTCTTCTTCCGCAACGCAGCGCTGCAGGTCGCCATCTTCCTACCGCTGGTGCAGTTGCCCGTCCTCCTCACGGGCAAGATGGGCTACGTGGACATCTCGAGGGAAGAAACACGATGCCCATGCAGTCCAGAGGGAAGAAACAACCCGAGGCAGCCACGAGCCGTCGCGGGATCTCGTCGACGCCGGTCTTGGCTTTGATCCATGCCAGCAGTCGTGGATTCGCGAGGATGATCCACGATTCGGCGGTGACCACGATGGACGGTGACCAGGATCGATGCCGACGCTTCCGCGCTCCATCTTGGTCATGGTCCTCGTCTTCGTTCCCTCCAACTTCGGCTGGCCCCTCGGCCTATTCTCAATGGGGCTTCTTGTGCTCCACGACGTTCTCGCCCTGGGCGATGCGGCGTCGACGCAGGGCGACGCGCGCGACCCTGCGCGGCCGCTGCGGGCGATGCTCACCGGGCTGGTGCTGGTGCTGCACGGCGGGCGCATGCTCCTCGGCGCTCTGGTGCTGTTCTTCTGCGGGCAGGGTTGGCACCCCCAAACCCAGACGTGCTCGAACAATCGCGGCGGGAGCTGCTTTTGCCCGTTTTCGTCCCCCCCCCAGGGGCCCTCGCCGGGCCCTGGGAGGAAAAGCCGGCCCGGGAGACCGGGTCGGGACTTCCCGAGGAGGTCTAGAAGCCGAGCTGTCAGAGGTCTGGGTCAATAGCCACTGCGTCTCGGGCATCTGGAGAAGGGAGTCGGAAAATGCGAGACGCAGTGGTTATATGGATATCAATATTGCCCGCATCTTCCCGTACGACTTCAAGAGCGGCGACCTCGCACGCTACCGGTTCGCGCAGGTGCGGTTCGTCGAGCTCTGCGGCATGCCCGCGAAGCTTTGGCCCCTGAGGATGCAGCACGACACCCTGCAGCAGGCCGCGGCGAACGCCGTGTTCCTGGGGTCCATGGCGTGCCTGCTGGCGGGCGACTTCTTCCGCGCGGCGGGCCCCGCGGTGGCGGCTCCCATCGGAGAGAGGAGACGTCGGCAGCGACCACAGACGTTCGGAGCTGCGCGCGGAGTGCTCGGGCCTGCGCCGAGCCCCCCCGCCCCCTCATGCTCCTCCTCCTCCTCCGCCTCCGCCTCCTCCTCCTCCTCCTCCTCCCCCCTTCTCCTCCTCCTCCTCCTCCTCCTCCTCCTCCTCCTCCTCCTCCTCCTCCTCCATCTCCTCCTCCTCCTCCTCCTCCTCCTCCTCCTCGCTCCAGGCAGGCCGCGCGGCGCTCCGAGGGTCTGCCCGCGTGCCGTGTGTCGCTGTCCTCTCTCCCGGCGGCGGCGGGGGCCAGCTCGCAGGCAGGCCCTGGGAGCTCGCGCGGCTGTGGCCGGAGCTGCACGCGCTGGAGGTCGCGGGGCTCGTCGCGGAGGGCAGCAGCTGTGCCCAGCGGTCGTTGAGAGTAGGTATTATTGTCGGGGGAGCGTAAGACCTGGGTTTGCCAGGACTCGGGTTCGCCATCGTTTTTTGACGACCGCGCCTAGAATTTTGACGAGGAGGAGTTTCGTGGGATGTCTGCAGCGGGAGGCCTCGTCAAATTGCAGGCTCGGCCTCGTCATTTTTTTGACGACCTCGTCGGGGATTTCCGAGTCCCCCGTACCCAGGTCTTACGTCCCCCTGATATTGGGTTCCCTGATTCCAATCTGCTTCCAGCGCCTTCCTACTTCAAGAGTCGAGTGGTTTTCCCTCGGCCCTCCTCTTCAGGAGGAGGGAGGAAACCCCATCTATTTCCAACGCCTTCCTGCTTCATGTTTCTACCTGCTTCTTCCGACCGATGGGTACACCTGCGCCGGTCCTGGCCGGGGGGCAATCCCTGCGTGCCCCTGGGACGGGGAAGTGCTGCAGCGTTTACAGGTCGTGTCGAGCAGATCTTCTTGGGGACCTCGCTGGGGGAGTTGTTCATCACGGGCGGGGTCCGTTTCGGACGGTCCCGGGGCCCGCAAAGGGCCCCCGCAGGCTCGAAACTGAGAAAGAACAAAGGCGACGACAGCAAACAAATCGACGATTCGAGTGTCCAGTCGACAAAACAAGGCGACGACAACGACACATCGACAACAACAACAACAACAACAACAACAGCAGCAACAACAACACATCGACAGCAACAACAACAACAATAATAATTTTAAGATTGTTCGCCCTTACATGCTCGAGTGTTCAATAACGCGTATTTCCCAAACCCTCGATACCCGCCCTCTTCGTCTTCGATCGAACCCCTTTTGGGGGGTATACCTTTCTTCCCTGCAGGCCGGGCCCCGGCAAGCGGCGGGGCGGCCGCGGACCGTCGGCCTGGCCACCGACAGCGCTGATCGGCGGGGCGGCCGCAGACCGTCGACCCGACCCCAAGAGGGACGGACAGGCGGCCGACCACAGCGACGACGACGACGGCGACGACGACGACGACGACGACGTCGAAGAAGACGGCGACGACGACGACGGCGACGACGAGCGAAAGCGAGAGCGAGAGAGAACGACAGCAGGGCCACGAAGGGCACGAAGTAGGCCACGAAGGGCGACAGCGGGGACACGAAGGGAATGCGTATGGGGCCACGAAGAGCGCGAACGAGCGGGGGCCACGAAGTGCAGATGATGCGGGCCACAGAAGGCAACTATGGGGCCACTGAAGGTAGCGACTGGGCCACGTAGGACAGTGAGGGGGACACAAATGGCGACAGCGGGACCACGAAGGGCATGCACATGGGGCCACAACGGGCGCGACTCCTGGGTGCCCGGGTGTCGGGAGCGCGGCGCTTGGGCAAATTGCAGGAAATCCCCACGCAATGCCATCAGTAACTTGCAAGCAAGTCTCCAGCGAGAGCGCGACTCCAGAGCGCTGGGAGAGCGATTCCTGGATAAATTCTAAGGAAGTCCCAAGCGAGAGCGCGATTCCTGAATCAAATGCGAGGACGTCTCGGGCGGGAGCGGAGGTCCTGGCTAAATTGTAAGGAAGTCTCAAGCGGGAGCCGTTGTTGTTGTAACCCGGGGGGCCAGGCGGCCAGTTTGAGCAGGAAGACTTTCCCTGTCAAAAAATCAGGGTGCGAGCGTCGAGGGGCACATTTTGATTGAGAAAAGCAGTATGCACCGGTGGGGGGGATCAACAATAATTATTCTTCAGAAGTGAGAATTCAACAACAACAACAACAATAACAACAACAACAATTACTAGCACGTGGGGACACTCCGTTCTCACCAGTGCCAGGGTTTTCATAGGAGGCGGGCAATACCCCCACTTTGTGGGGGGGCCGGTTCAAGCTCTACCACATTTCCAAACGACTCTTCGCCACCACCCACACCCAGCTTCCCGCCCTATGACGTTCGGACACTTCACTTCGTGGCATGCGGACGACCGTGGCTACTATTCAGGGCCCCGCGGCCGACGACGACGGCGTGCGCGCGCGAAGAAAAAACGAATGTGTCCCGCATGGTATTATTTGACAGGTATGATGGCCCTGGCAGGTGCGCAACCGTTGTGGCAGAAGTTCGAAAAAGTTGCTCGCAAAAGCCCGTTTGACAGAAATGTTTAAAAAGTGTTGGGTTTCCTACGAATCCGCAAGAGCGCGCGGGATGAACTTTTGACAGTTTGTTTTTTGAAAAAAACCAATGGTTTTTTGATGTTTTTATGTTAAAATCGCTACGAAAACTAAGGTTTTGGAAGGATTTCGTTTTGCGCGCGCCAATGTCCACTTTACCTTTTTGTTGCAAGGGATTCTTGAAGTTTGGAAATGTTAGAACAAGAAATGTCCACTTTAGCTTATTTTTTGCAAGGGAAAACCGATCGTAACAACACAACCGGATCCGGACTCCCCCGTTTTGCCTGAGACTTCCTCACGAAAGTGATGAAAATGAGGCTGCGGCCTAGGCGCGGCCGGGGGGTCGTGCACCAGGGGTCCCAACAATAATTATTCTTTAGAAGTAATAATCTTCTTCTTCAACAACAACAACAACAACAACAACAGCAGCAGCAGCAGCAACAACAACAACTACCACTACCACTACCACTACCACTACCACTACCACGACCACTACCACAACCACAACCACAACCACAACCACAACCACAACCACAACCACCACAACAACAACAACATCACCAACAACAACACAAACAACAACAACACCAACAACAACAACAACAACAACAAATCGACAACAATCAAGTCGACAATCGACCAAAGGCGACGTCAGCAAACCATCGTTATATTCTGTCCAGGGCAATGTGGGCCCAGAATCGGTGTCCATGCCTCCCTGCCCGCGCCAGGAGGGCGTGTACACAGATTCCTGGGTAGGTATCTTCAAAAATAGCACAAAATAGTCTGGGGACGATTTTTCTGATAGTCTTGGTTTGTTTGGGGTGCGCTTAGACTTTTTCAAATTTGTCTTCCAACATCCGCTTATAGGAGTACGTGCCCGACCGAATCCTGGGCCCAGGATGAGCCGAGCCAGGAAGGTGTGTGCACCCATGCCTGGGCCCTGGGCCCAGGATGTCACCACCCACCAGACAACCCCAGCCCAGCCCGAAGGCCCCGAGTTGCCCTCCATTTCCAGTGGGTGGGGGGGGGGGCCCGGGGAACATTGAACAAAACACGTACGAAGCCCGCACCACCCCCCAACCCGAAATTCGAGTCTTCTGGTTGGGTCGAGGTGGTCTGGTAGGGAGTCAGATGGGGACGGAAGATCGCGCCGAGTCACCAGTGCATCCGCCATGCATCGGCGCCGTTGGCGTAGAGAAAGTAGGGCTCCTCATCGAGCCGCATCGCCGACGCATCGGCGATGCGGCGCGATCCTCCGACCCCATCTGCTCCGGCCCCAGCTGGCAAGCCTGGACTTTGGCAGCACCCGAGCGTCTGCGAGTGGATGAGCCGAGCCAGGATCGGCGCAGGTGTTTCGCTGGCGCCCTCCTGCCGTCGGCTGGCTCGCGTTCTGGCAGGCGGAGAGCCTCGCGGACGGGCAGAAGCTCCTGTTCCTGCACAGGTCGGCGACTGCCAAAGGGTGTGGCTACGCCGCGCTGCGGCTTGCGATCTGCGTCGCGGCGACCTGCCAGGCCTCCTCCCCAGACACGATCGCGTCTTAAAAACAAAAAATCTGGACGGGAGGTTTTGGGACAATTTCGGCCTCGGGGGGCCCTCGCCGGGCATCGGGACCGTCAAAAAACGACTCCGGATGAAGAACTGGTCCCGGGGGAAGGGTCGGGATTTCCAGGGATCCCGTCCCGAAAAAATTACCCTGGCGAAGGACCCAACCATACGCAAGTGTGAGAACCGCAGGGCAGATGGGACGAAGCAAGGGGAATTCCCAATGGGGCCACGAACCGTGTGAGGGGTGCTCCAAAACGCGGGGCTCCCATGCGAACCCTGACACTGGGGCCTTCGGTGGAGCTCCCTATGGGGCCACGAACCGTGTGAGAGATACGCTACAATGGGGCTGGGCCGCCATGCGAACCCTGCCATTGGGGCCTTCGATGGAGATCCCTATGGGGCCACGAACTGTGTGAGGGGTGCGCCGAAACGGGGTGGGGCCGCCATGCGAACCCTGCTACTGGGGCCTTCGGTGGAGCTCCCTATGGGGTCACGAACCGTGTGAGGGGTCCGCCAAAATGGAGCGGGGCCGCCATGCGAACCCTGCCACTGGGGCCTTCGGTGGAGCTCCCTATGGGGCCACGAACCGTGTGAGGGATACGCTACAATGGGGCTGGGCCGCCATGCGAACCCTGCCACTGGGGCCTTCGATGGAGATCCCTATGGGGCCACGAACCGTGTGAGGGGTGCGCCAAAATGGGGCGGGGCCGCCATGCGAACCCTGCCACTGGGGCCTTCGGTGGAGCTCCCTATGGGGTCACGAAGCGTTGTGCTAGGTGGGTGAAACGCAGGGAGGAAGGAGGAGGGGGAGGGGGGAGGAGGGGGAGGAGGAGGAGGAGGAGGAGGAGGAGGAGGAGGAGGAGGAGGAGGAGGAGGCGGTAGGGAGGGAGGGACGGAGGGATGCGGGGCGCTGTCTCTTCAAAACGAGGACCCAACAACACAGGATGGTTGGGAATCAGGACGTCGCATGTCTGGGTCGGGGCGCGGAAGGGAACTTTGTCGAGTTCCCCGCCCGCCCCCCCGGGTGCGGGTTACAAACCGCACCCTTTGCAGACCACACCCTTCGGATCCGCCGCAGAGAATTTATACACGGACGCCCTGCAATACATGCTTCCTCGGCCTCAGGGGAGGGTGGCGGTGTATAAGTCACCGCTGGGAGCCGGCGGCTTTCTGCACCGCCGCCCTCCCTGGCGGTGCGTGCAGATTTCGTCGCAGGGTGTCGCGTGTACGCGCCGGTCGTTGAAAGTAGGCACTTTTGGATCCCCGGATCCCAATCTACTCCAAGCGCCTCCCGATTTCAAGAATCGGCACGCTTTTGCTGTGTCTTGTTATTCTCTGGGAGGGCCTGGACAACATCTACTAGATCCGCCTTCCTACTTCATGCTTCTACCCACTTCTTCCGACCGACGGGTCTCTGTGTGTGGCGTATCGGAGCCGCCGAACAGGGCGCGGAGGCTCCGCGGGGGCGGCGGCGGCGAGGGCCGGGAGGGGCCGTGGCCCACCCTCGGGCACGCGCCCTTCGACGGCCCGGAGTTCTGCCTCTGGGCGCTGTGCCGCCACCCCAACTACTTCTCGGGGGCCGCTGGGGCTGCCTCGGGAGGGGGGGAGAGCTCGGCTGCACGCAAGAGTGGCCCTTCGCCGGAGGGGCCTTTGGTGCGGGCTCATCGGGCTCCCCCCGAGCGCCGAGCACGAGGCGACAGAAGCGGCCCGCGCCCCTCGGGTGTGGCTCCCTCGCGGCCCCAGAAGCTGCGCACCAAAGGCCACTCTTACTCAGGGTCACTCTTACGTCTAGCCGAGGAGCGTCGAGTTCCAAGAATGGACGGAAACATCTGGGAAGTGGGGGGAGGGAGTGCGGAAGGCGAACGTCGAGAGAATACGGGATAGCAGCGGGTATCCTGGCGCTTGTGCCTATTCACTCGTGTGTCCCTGAGTTCCTCCAGTGTCTCTGGCCCAGTGCAGCCGTACGGAAAGTGGTTGCTCAGACTCGGCCTCCAGGAGCCCCCGCTCTTAGCGGGCCCTGGAAAGGGCAGGGCCGTTTTTTCACCGTTTCCGAAAAAGTTCCCCTTGAAAATGGGAACGGCAAAAAAACGGCGACCGGAAACGGCAACAAAAACGGCCCCAGGATTGGAACCGGAGCGGGAGCCCGTAAGAGAACGGCGACGGAGCCGGCAAAAAAAGGCGACGGAACGGGCAAAAAAACGGCGTCGGAGCCGGCAAAAGAAACGGCAAAACGGGACCGGCAACAAAAACGGCCTTGTCCTTTCCAGGGCCCACTGAGCCCCCGCCGGGCCCTGGGACCGTCAGCAAATGGCTCGGGATGAAGAGCCGGTCCCCTGGGAGGGGTCGGGACTTGGGGGGCCGCGTATTGAAGAAATGGGGGTATGGAATGTCTGTCGGCTGCGAGCGAGGGGGGGGGAGTGCGAAGGAAAAGGCCTTCTCAGAGGGTTCGGGAGTCCCCCGGCCTGCTGAGAAGTTTCTTCGGTCTTCCCCGAAGACACAGAAGACTTCTCAGAAGGCGCGAGCCGCCTGGTGAGAAGGCCCACTTCGCCTGCTCATGTCTCTCCTTTCGCTCGACGCCGAGAAGCGGCCCCTGCCGTGGAAGAGCCACAGTCCCCGGGAAGGGGCCGGGACTTCGGGGGCCCCGCATTACATGTGAGTCGGGCCTGTCCCTTTACATGAGGAGTATTCGAAAATAGTCCAAACATCGTATGGGGACGATTTTGTTGAACATGTATTGATGCTAGTTTAGGGGAGTTCTGAGGAGTATTCGAAACTAGTCAAAACATAGTATTGGGACGATTTTGTTGAAGATGTTTTGTTGCTAGTTTAGGGGATTTTAATGGTATCTTGTATTTTCACCCAAGATGCCCCTGTCGGGGGACAGGCCCGACCTAACATCAAACAACAGCAGGGTATCGAATGTTTGGGAGGTGCCCCCAGAATTCCCGAGGAGGCCCCCATGGCCTCCAAGGCACCCCTCCAGGGGCTCCAGGAGGGAGCGAGTAGCTGGAGGCACATTGGGCCCCTGAGACCCGAGGCCACGAAAAGAGTGAAGCACCGCGAACAACCACGACCAGGAGCCCAAGAGACCCCCTCTCGCAATTGCACTTCTCGAGCCGGCTCGATCCGTAACGGCCCGAGGGCCTGCAACGTCTTTGTCACGCCGGGGCGCTTGCGCACGGCTTCCGACACCGCGCGCGGACGCCCGGCGGGCAAACGTGCGCAGACGCCCGCAGTCTACAGGGGGGGCATGGGCACTTTTGTCGAGGCCTCCCAGGCGGGGTCGGAGCAGAGGGGGAGGGAGGATCGCGCCGAGTCACCGGTGCATCGGCCATGCCTGCATCGCCGGTTTGGCGATGCACCAGCGACGTCGGCGATGCATCGGCGCCGCTGGCGTGGAGAAATAGGGCTCCGCCTCGAGCCGCACCGCCCATCTTCTCCGACCTCATGTGGCACGCCTGAACTGTGGCATTAGGTCGGGCATGTCCCCCTACAGGCGGATTTTGGGCGAAGCATTCCAGATATTCCAGACATGTTTTTGAACTGGCAAGAAATATGTAACATAAAACCGTCCCGATGTTATTTCTCACCCATGTTTGGATATTCTTCCCCCAGAGGGACGCCGCCCGACGTAACTGTGGCAGCCCCCGAACCTCTGCGAGTGGATGTGCTGGAACTGCCTCCTCCTGGCGAGCCTGCCCTCCCTGCTGCGCCTCCCGCTCGGCGAGGCCCGGCTCGGCCCCGCGCCCGCGCTCGGGCTCGCGGCGGTGCCGGTGCCAGCCTGGGCGGTGCGCCTGGGCAGCCCCGGCTGCACGCCAGTGCGACCTTTCGCCAGAGTGACCTGTGTCCTCCTCCTCCTCCACCTCCTCCTCCTCCCCCTCCTCCTCCTCCACCTCCTCCGCCTCGTCCCACAGCCGTGAGCAAGCAAGCAAGCAAGCAAGCAAGCAAGCTCCTCCTCATCCTCCTCCTCCTCCTCGTCCCACAGCCGTGAGCAAGCAAGCAAGCAAGCAAGCTCCTCCTCCTCCTCCTCCACCATCTCCTCATCCTCCTCCTCCTCCTCCTTCTCCTCCTCCTCCTCCTCCTCCTCCTCCTCCCCCTCCTCCTCCTCCTCCTCCTCCTCCTCCTCCTCCTCCTCCTCCTCCTCCCCCTTCCGGCAGCAAACGCGCGCAGGACCCCAGGTAAGGGGGCACGGTTAGCAGTAGGGCCCTGGAGCCCCTAAGCTTGCCAGGTTCACTAAGCCAGGTCTGCCGCAGCTGGTGTTTTCTCGGGTGACAGCAGCTCCGATTAGTGAAACGACGGGGCGGAGGGGGGGGGCGTCCCCCAGTACACATCACCAAACCAGGTCCCCTTAAACCCAGTTCTACCAACGCCCGACCGTGGTGCGGGTCCAATGCGGCCCCCGGGTTGCTGAATGCGATGCGATAGCAGCGGTTTGCGCGCCTGGCGATGTCCCCGAAGGGCCCCCCCCCTCGGGCCGGGCACCAAAGCTCATTCTTGCCCAGGGTTGCTTTGGCGTGTAGCCGACATACTCGGCGTGCTCGTGCTGACGAGCATGTTCCTGCACAACTGCCTGATCGGCGGTTCAAAGACTCATAGGAGGAACAGGCATCGATACTGGTGCGGTTCCCTCGTTTTCGCATTTTGGGGGCCTCCTGGGATGCCCTCGTCACCACAGCTGGATTCGCCTCGAGATTCTCGTCAGAACGCAGCCCGGGAGAGGTCCTGGGAGTACCGGTATCGATATCTTTCGGTTTCCCCCAAGGACGTGGATTTGAGGGATGGGGTCCTCAGAATGAGGAAGTAAAAAACATTGCATACACATAATTCGAAGTTTCGGAGCTTCGCTCGGATTTCTTGGATCGGCGTTGGGCCCCTCTGGCGGCGCCTCTGGCGCCCCAGGGAGGGTGTCCAGCGCAGATCCAAGAAATCCGCGCGAAGCTCCGACAGTGTCTCTGCAAATAAATTGTCCCATCTGAGTCCTAGCTCAATGGCATAGAGAATCACCCCCCCTCTACTTTACCTTTTGCGCGGTCAAACTATGCGCATGGTTTTCTCTGCATGCCCATGGTTTCCTCTGCTATGTGCATGGCTTCCTGTGTACTTGCATGGTTGTTTCTGCTAGCCGCATGGCTTCCTCTGCAGAACAGAGCAGGGAAGAGTAGAGCAGGGCAGAGCAATACAGAGTAGGGTAGATGTACAGTATCGCAGAATACGAGTCGCGTTAGAGTAGAGTCGAGTCGAGGATAACATTGTAGAGTATTGGAAAGCAGCGGGTAATAGAGCAAGGTAGGAGTAGTGTAGAAAAGAGTATGAGACGAGCCGAGTAGAGTTAGAGTGGAGTAGGGCAGGGTAGGGTGGGAAAGGCCCGAGCAGCGTAGAATGGAGTAGCGAGGTTTGTAGAGTAGAGTCGGTTTGGATAGAGCTGGGTATCTTATAGAGTAAAGTTGGATATATTAGAAGAGAGTATGCTGTAGTAAAGTTGAATAGGCGTAGAGTAGAATAGAGTGGGGTGGAGTAGAGTCGAGTCGAGTAGAGTAGAGTAGAGTAGAGTAGAGTAAGTGAGGATGGAATAGGGTAGAGCAGAGTAGAGGAGCAGAATAGAGTAAATCAGAGCAGTGGTGAGTAAGGTTCAATGTAGAGTAGAGTAGAGTAGAGTAGAGCACAGTCAGGTAGAACAGAGTAGTGGAGGGTAGAGTAGAGTTGTTCTAGGAGCAAGTTCGAGTAGGAGTAGAGTAGAAGAGAATATAATAGAGTAGGAGCCGTTTGTTATGGAGTAGAGTAGGAGTAGAGCAAGGGTAGAGTAGAGTCTAGTAGAGCAGATTGTGGTAGGGTAAAGCGCAGGACGCCCTCAACTTGCGGGTCGCACGCCCGGAACAACCGTCAGATCTTTCGTCTTGCCCGGGCCAGGGCAACGTGTTCAGCGCCGTCCTCAAGGACAAGGGGGTGGTCACCACAGCCACCGCAGACATGGCTTGAACGTTAGGCGCACATTGGCTTGCAACCTTGCGGGAACGGGGCATCAAAGAAGTCACACGTGACCTACGCCCTCAAGATCTTCGGCAATACATCCCCAGACCCCAACGGAATCCCCTTCTTGGCATGGCGCCTCTGCACAACAATGTCGGCATCCCTTTTGTTCAATGAGGCCAAGTTCATCCACGGGAACGGCTAGACCAGGCTCACCAGAGAGGATACAACGCCAGTTTGATGTTCCTCCTCCCGAAGAAGCTGGCTGGAACAGTACCATACGGCGAAGGGTATTTCACGCGAGCGGCCACCATGCTTTTCAACGTGGCGGACACGGACAACATATAGATCTCGAGTGCAGTCCGTGCCGCTATCGAGCCTGCTGTCAGCCGAGGTAGATTGGAGATCAAGCGCGGCTCCCTTCGAGAGCGTCCCATGCTTTCCAACTTGGTGAATATGGAGGAGGCAGTGCTCCAGACGGCGCTCAGCAGTCCCACGGGCGGGGCTCTTTTGTTCGTTTTTTTCGGCGGCCTTCCCATCCATTGATCGCAAGGTTATGACCCATGTCCTTGACCACCTCGGATTGCCCCCGTGGCTCCTTGGTTGCATCGCTGCTCTGTGTTCCGAGAATATTTGCACGGTCATCATGGGAGGCTCCAAGCACTGCACGTTCGACATCACGCCGGGCGTTCGCCAAGAGTGTGCGTTGTCACCCCTTTTGTTAGGCGCAGCGATTGACATCCTCCTTCGCCAAAGTGCCCTCTTACTCCCAGCCTGTGTGCTCCGTGGTTACGCGAACGAGCTCGCGCTCACTGACATGGGCCAGCATGCCGGTGGCAGAGAGGATCTTCGCTGACTTCAAACGTGTCGCTTGGCCCGCCCTGAACCTCCCCAAGACGGTGTTCATGTCATTTTCCCCTACGACCATCGTGGAGGCCCGCGAACGCCTTGCCGATTTGGCGTCGCTCTGTGGAGCATCGGAAGTTGATTTCAGCACCGATTGGCTAGGGTATGATTTTGGTCCTGGGATAGGTCGGCGTACTTTGGACGTCGCCTCGAGAAGAACGAGCGCGTTCTGTGGTCGCTTGGAGGGGGGGGGGGGCAACCGGACCCCCCCCCCCCCTTGATGGACGGGGGGAGGGGGTTTCGACCCCCCCCCTCCTCTGCGCCCCCTCTCCTCGGGCCGGCGCTTGTGTGGGCCGCGGCTGGCGACAGCGGCGGAGACGACGATTTCCATTTTTGGGCAGGCTCCGGCGCCTGCGGCGGCGAGCGGCGGTGGCGGGGAGCGTCGACGAGGACGACGTTGGTTTGTGGTGGTGGTGGTTGTGGCGGTGGTGGTGGTGGTGTGGTAGACTGTGGTGGTGCTGGTGATGGTAGTGGTGGTGGGTTCTTGTGGTTGTGGTGGTGGTGGTGGTGATGGTGAGTTGTGGTGGTGGTTGTGGAGGTGGTGGTGGCTGTGGTGGTGGTGGTGGTTGTGTGGTGCTGTTGGTGGTGGTGCTGGTGGTGGGTTGAGGCGGTGGTGGTGGTGGTAGTGGTGGTAATTGTCGCTGCGTCCCCGCCGGCGCCAGCGCCGGCGCTGCTGGCCGCCACCAGCGCTGGCGCCGGCGCGAGGGGGAGGGGGGGGGGTGAACCCCGCCCCCTCCCAGCGCCAGGAGGGGGGGGGGTTGAACCCCCCCACCCCTGGGCTGCCTCTGGTCAGCGTCGCTGCGTCCCCGCCGTGGGCGCTGCTGGCAGCCGCCAGCGCCGTCGCCGGCGCTGGCGCCGACGGGGGGGGTTGAACCCCCCCCCCCGTTGGGAGGAGGGGAGGGAGGGGTTCGGGAAAAGGGGGGCGTCTGCTCCCATTTCGACGCTCCCCCGAGCTTTGCCGAGATGGAGGACAGGATGGTGCGGCGGGTGAACTGGGCCCGAAGGGCTGGGTGACGCCGGAGTTTCTGAAGAGCATCATGCATGTAGGCTTTTGGTGGCGAGCTGTTTGATGTCCACACCGCGGCAATCGCTGACCGCCCGCGCGTGGGCTTCCACAAGAAATCCATGCTCGGGGAATTGAGAATTGCGACCAGCGCGCCTTTTGGAGTCTCGCCACGGCCACCACCGACACCGCGGACCGCCTGATCCATTTCCACGGATGGTACCAGAGCAATATCATACTCTCGTTGGATAACGCGGCTGCTTGTGTTCTGGGGGCGCCTGCAGTGGCGCGCGCCTTGTTCGACAACCAACCTCCAGAGCACACGAAGTCGAATTGGCAATCCAGGGTTGTGGGTCTGCTTCGTTCTGACTCCTCCCCGCTTGCAGCGGCTGGTCTCCAGCGCAGGATGGATCGTTGGCGTGTTTCTACGCTTCCAGGGCATCGGGTCTCCCGCTGGCTCGGCCTAGTGCAGAACATCTCGCACCTCGTTTTGCCGTTGCTGCCGCTCTCACCACGTTTGCTGCGCCTGGGGCTACACCGACTGCCCATGGAACGCGCGGTGGAGGACGTCATCGGCGTCGGCCGGTCTTCGGGATTCTCTATGAGTAAAACATCGTCGAGAGTGGCGGACGGTGGCGTTCTGAAGGCGATTTCCGTGTGCGCCGTACAATACACACGCCAAGGTGCGGCATGGACAAAGCATTGCGGACTCTGCTAACGCCTTTCCGCGGGTTGTTGCGCGAGGCCACTTTCAGCAACCCGAGTTCGGCGGAGCTGGTTACGAAGACTTTCAGCTCGACGAGCGGGCGGGCAACGAGGGCTGCAGCGCCGCGCGCGCGTTCAACCAGGGACTGAGTTTCACACTCCTACACTATTTCATGTAGTTTGATTTGTTTATTCCGCAGTCGCCCCGTCCCGTCCTCCTCCCCCCGCTTTTATGGCAGTGTTTACTTTGGTGGGGGTTCTTGGGTCCCGTCCTCTTGCTACAACGCGGCGTTTCGACAGCCGCTTGTGGTCTTCCGTGTCGAGCCTAGTGTGTCGTTCCGCGCTCGGGTTGATCTAAGCATTTGGGTTGTTTATGTCATGTTGGGTGATTCGGTCCCGATGCGGTCCAAAAACACTTGTGAAAACGCACCGGTCATTTCCACAACTGTTTCCCTTTTCCTATTCAGCTTTTCTCTTCGTTGGTTGTATTCCTTGTTCTGCTTTTGCTGCTGCTGTCCTCCGCGTGGTGGCGTGTGTTGTTTCTGTTGTGCCAGTGCCTTCACAAAGCGTGCAGGATGGGCACGTCAGACCAAAGCACACCAGAGGATGTATCAACCATGCGTGGCCGCGAGAAGTGCTCGGCTTCTGCCAGGAAAATCAGAGAAGCAAACCAGACTAGGGGGAGGGTCGGGTATGGCTGAGTAGGGTAGGGTTGGGCAGTGTAGGGAGGTAAAGTCGAGCAGAGCAGGGCCGGGTGAAGTAGGGTAGGCTACAGGGTAGACCAGAATCAGGTACAATAGAGCAGAATAGACGTGGGTCGGGTCCTTCCCAGTCTAGTCCAGCGTACTCCAGTCCAGTCCACCTGGGTCCCTTTTTCCAGTCTTGGATATATCTGGAGTCTGCGTTGGCAGATACTGTTTATGCTGTTTTTGTCTTATACGAGCGAGCGGCCTGAAACGACGAACGTTCTGCTTGAGATCCGTCTCCTGTCCTCAGAGCCGGCAAACTCAGGGGAAATTCGGATGGAGGCTCGTAGCGATACTGTCGTGCAAATCGTTCGTCATATTTGGGTATAGGGGCGAAAAGCTAATCGAACCATCTAGTAGCTGGTTTTCTCCGAAGTTGCCCTCAGGATAGCTGGAGCTGAACAGTTTTATCAGATAAAGCGAATAATTGGAGGAATCGGGGGCGCGCTGTCCTTGAATCGCCGACCTGAACTGGTGGACGGGTGCCGCTCCGGCGGAGTACTGGAGCTCGCGGGGGCAGCGGGCCGAGAGCTACAAGCAGTACCAGGGTGCCGTCCGCTGCTTCTGGCCGTTCGAGATGCCGATGGTGGACCACCGGCGTGTCGCGGGCTGGCCCTGCTGCGGCGAATCTCAGTATCCTTGTTCCGACCCCCTTCCCCATCACCATCCCCTTCGAGACCCCCACCAAATTACCACCCCAGTTGGGGATACACCCCTCGCAACCCGCAGGGAACGGCCTATATCTCCATCTAGGGGGGTAAATCGGCCTGTGGGGCACAGGCCACGCCGCCGGGGAAGGGGATCGGTTGAACGATGCTCAGAATATCGAGGAACAGCAAGTGGCATAAACATGAACTTTCGGAACTCCGCGCGGATCTCTCGGATCGGCGCTGGGCCCCTTCCTTGGCGAGCAGAGTGCGCCATGGGCGGCGCCAGAAGCGCCGCCAGGGGGGGCTCCAGCGCAAATCCCAGAAATCCGCGTGGACCTCCGAAGGTCTATGTTTAGGTAATTGTTTGTTCCCCGAGAGGAATGCGAGAAGAGGGAGTGACCGTCGGTGGTGTCATCGCGCGTTGGCCCCCCAGCGCCGCACAGTGCGTACGGAAGGGGGAGGGGCGGTCGGGGAGAGGGAGGTGGCGGATTCGGGGAAGGGGGACAGGGGAGGAGGGGGACGGGGGAGTGGGCAAGCTAGGCGCGCTCGCGCCGTATCTGACATCATATCACTCCCTCTCATCCCTTCTCATTGCGCTGAATTGCTACCTATCCGCGAACGCGTGTCATAGCCGACCTAGAACTCCGCAAAAGACCCCTTTATCGTGTCATGCGCAGTCGGAAGAGGGGATCTTGTAACCTCTGTGGCCTGCGGGGCTCGTGAGACCTGCAACACCTGTGGACCCCGTGGGACAAGTGGGAACTGTGGGGCCTGGAAGACATGCGAGACCTGTGAGTCCCGTGGTACCAGCGGGTCCCGCGGGACCTGGGGGACCTCTGCGGGACTGGCGGGGCATGCGACACATCTCTGGGGCCAGCGGGACTTGTCGGACCTGTGTGGCCCGTGGGGCATGCGAGATCTGCGACGGAGAGGAGACGGTGGACGGAGGGTGTGGACCAGGAGGGGGAGGACAATGACATGGACGAGGACAGGGCTTGGGGGCAACATTAGGGGGGATAGGCCCAAGGGGGATGCATCGACCCCCAATCACGCCTCACATGCCCCGCCCCGCCCAGGAACGTCCCGCTTCGCTATCGGGGGCAACTCGCCGATCTATGGGTGATGTATCGCCGATTCCAGGTCGCTATTTCCTCCCCGCCCCCCCCCGTCTCAGCCAGTCCCCTCTTAACGTTCACCGTCAGGGACGCGGTCGACGACGATACATTTGACGAACATCTCAGCTGCAGTAGAAGAGGGTGAGGAAGCAGGGATTGGAACAAGAGGTTGCGAACTTCGTGCCAGCCGCCCTCGCTCTTGACCCTGTCGTTGTACAGCATGCCGATTCGAATCAGATTCATAATGAGGTCCAGGATACGGTTTGGAACGTTTGGTTATCAGGAGGGAAAAAACACACACAGACACAACGAATCGTCGATTCCCAAGAAATATGGGAACATATGATGAGACGTGCGGGGGAAGACAAAAGCCTAGAAACGATTGGAACATATAAAGGAATCCCGTCGCTTGTGTCTACTTATCTTTGTGTCCCAGGGCCCCTTCAGGTCAGCGTGTCGCGCCGCACCCAACACGCCCCGGCGCGACGCGCTGATCACGCCCCAGCCTCCAAGCATCAGCGTCCCGAGCCTTTTTCCCTGGCTGCCCGTGCAGCGGAGCGGCACGGTGTCCGCCCGCAGGGCACCGCCTGCCGCCGGGGCCGCCGCCGCGACGCGGCACGACAGCGTTTCCGGCCGCAGCGCACACCGACTTTCGGCGGCGGGCGAGGGGGGGAAGTTGAGCAGGAGAGAAGGTCTCCTCCAAGGGCGACGGGCCTTCTCAGACGCCCGGGGGGAGCTCCCGAGCCTGCTGAGAGCAGGCCCCGCCCCGTCCCACCTTCCCCCCCTCGGGGGCGCGCCGCCCAGATCGAGGTCGGGCCCCTGCCGGGGCCCAGGACAGGAGGCGGCGACTGTTTTGTCGGACGTGTCCCTCTACAGGAGGAATAGTCGAAAATATTTACAAATTGTCCTGGAGGATTCTTTGCCAATTCTTCGTAGATGTTTTGGGTATTGGCGAATATGTCGCCCAAAATCCCCCTGTAGGGGGACAGGCCTGGCCTGAGGCTATTGGCCGCGGCAGCTGCGGAGGAGGCACCCCGCGGGCCGGGAGAGGCAGCGGCCCTCCGCGCGCGCGCAGGCGCTTGGTGAAGGACCCCGACCTGCTGGCGCTCGGCGCGAGGCTGCGCGGGCGCTTCGAGGTCGTCGAGAAGGCCCGTGGCGGTCTCGGGGCACCCGGTGCCGCGCGCGCGCCTCGGTGCTGGCCGGGAGGAGGGGCAGAAGGGGAGGGATGCAGCCAGGGAGGAACGTGGAGATGAAGAGGGAGAAAGAGAGGGAGAGGGAAAGGGGGAGGGCGAGAGAGAGAGAGAGAGAAAGAGACAAACACAGTCAGACAGCAGAGGACATACAGACAGGCAGACACACTGGCAGAGACAGGCAGACAGACAAGCAGACATACGGACGGACAGACAGACAGACAGAGACAGACCGAGACAGGCAGTCAGACAGGCAGAAAGAAAGACACAGGCAGAGACAGACAGACAGACAGACAAACATACATACGGACGAATGGACAGACAGACAGACAGAGACAGACTGAGAGAGCAGGGATGCAGCAAGTGAGGGGAACGAGAGGCAGGCAGACAGACAGACAGAGAAAGATAGCGAGAGACCGACAGACAGACAGACACACGGACAGACACACTGACAGACAGACAAACAGGCAGGCAGACAGACGGACACGGAGAACAGGCAGACAGAGAGCCACAGAGATAGAGAGGGAGGGAGAGAGATTAAGGGATATTTCGGAAGGGTCAGGCTGAAGGAAGGGGTGAGGAGGAAGAGGAGGAGCGCAGAGAGGAGAGAGGGAGCGCGGATATGGAGAAGCTGACGGATCACCAGCAGGACGAGGGAGAGAAAGAGAGAGAGTGAGAAACAACAATAGTAACAGCAGCAACAACAACAATTATATGATTGTTCGCTCTTACTTGCCCGCGTGTCATTCAAAACGAGTCCCCCACACCCTCGGTACCCGACCTCTTGTCCTCGATCACACCCCCTTTGGGGGGATTTTTTCTCTTTACGGGGGTCGGCGAACTTAGACCAACGGGCAAACCTGAACGGGCGGACAATCCTTCGTGGGCGTACATGTGCCCGCCATTGGAATTGGTGTGGGCCCTGCAAAAAGAGGGGGGGAACGAGGGAGTGTGGGAGAAGGGGGGGGGGGGAGGGACGAAGAAAGAGGGAAAACGCCATGAGAGAAGGAGCGAAGAGGGGGCGGTTGATTAGAGGCAGAGAGAGAGAGAGAGAGAGAGAGAGAGAGAAAAAAAAAGAGAGAGAGAGAGAGAGAGAGACGGAGAGAGTTAGAGAGAGAAAAACATATAAGAGAGGTACAGAAAGAGAAAGAGAGAGAGAGAGAGAGACAGGGGAGAGAGAGAGAGAGAGAGAGAGAAAAATAAACAAAAGAGAGAAAGAAAGACAGAGGGAGGGAGGAGGCAGGAGAGGGGAGGGAGAAGGGAGGAGGGAGAGGAGGGAGAGGGGAGAGGGCAGAGAAGCATAAGGATGAGGGAAGACAGGACGGAGAGAGAAGGGAGGAAAGGAGGGAGAAGGGAGGAGGGAGAGGGAGGATGAGCAGGAAGGTAAGAGCGTGAACGTTGAATAACTTGCGAGGAAGTCGCAAGCGGGAGCACCGATCCTGAGTAAAGTGTAAGGAATTCTCGGGCGGGAGCAGGGGTCCTGAGTATATTTGGAGGAAGTCTCAGGCGGGAGCCGTTGTTGTTGTAATCCTGGGGGCCAGGGGCACAATTTGAGCATCAAGACTGCCCCTGTCAAGAACAGGGTGCGAGCGTCGATGGCCACACTTTGATTGAGGAAAAACAGCATGCGCCGGTGAGGGGGGATCAACAATCAGTATTCTTTAGAAATGAGAGTTCAACAACAAAAAACAAATGGAGCAACGCGAGTTCAGAGCAGGGGGAGCGCGCTGTGGCAGCGGCGGCGGCATTTCCCAGAGCAACGCGAGTTCAGAGCAGGGGGAGCGCGCTGTGGCAGCGGCGGCGGCATCTGCCAGAGCACGCCGCACGCCGGCAAGCGAGGACGTGGGCATACGTGAGGAGCACGCGGCGGTGACCTTCAGTCGGGCCTGTCCCTCCACATGGGGAATATTCAAAAACATTCAAAACATATTGATGTGTGGGCATTGGCTAACCATTTTTGATTATGTTGGGGGAGCTTTGTTTTTAGAGCGAGAAAACAATGCCTGTAGGGGGGGCACGCCCGACCGAACGGTGGCCCAGGAGCGGCGGCGCTGTGTCCTGGCCACGGCGGGCCCGGGAGCTTCTTCGGCAGCAAGAGACGCTTCCCCGCCGGCCCGGACCTGGGGGGAAGCAACGTGTGCCAGAGCCGGAGTCCACCATTCTCAGGAGGGAAAGAAACACACAGACACAATTCATCGGCGATTCCCCAGAAAATATGGGAAAATATGGGAAGTGGGGGGGGAAGACAAAAAACCCGAAAATATATGAAACTATTGGGAATCTGTTTATTTGTGTGTATTTATTTGTGTGTCCCAGGGCCCCTTCACACTCGGGCGTTGCCAGAAGTGCCCCTGGCCCAGGGTGCCCCCAGCCTTTCGCTCCGCTCTGAGGCCCCTGGGGCCCTCTGGGCCTCGTGAGGGGTGGCCTGGAGGCCGTCGGGGCCACCCCGAGCATCCTGGTGGTACCTCGGGCCAGGGGGTACTTCTAGCAACACCCGAACCACCACCACCACCGTAAGCTGGAGGGGGAAAGAGGTGGAGGATGGGGAGGAGGAGGAGGAGGAGGAGGAGGAGGAGGAGGAGGAGGAGGAGGAGGAGGAGGAGGAGGAAGGAGAGGGGGGAGGAGGACCCCTTCCCCCTCCCACTTCTGGTCGTGGCGGTGGAAGACAGGCCCAGCAGTGCTGCCACAGGGGCCGGTGGCCCGGGAGCAATAGAGCTGTGCTCTGGCCGCGGATGAGCCTGTGAGCCTCGGCAACGAGATCCGCTTCCCCGAGCCAGACCCGAGGGCGGTGCCACAGCCCGAGCCCCCCTCCTTCGGAGCCCGGAGGGGTCCTCGGGTCAGCGTCACATCGGGCACGCCCCTCTACAGGAGGAAGATCCAGAACCGGACACAGAATTGTCGGGGGACCCTCTTGCGACCATTGTTGGTGGTCTTTGGGCATGTGTTGGCTGTTTTTTTGTTGTTTGGTTTTTTATGTTCACTTTTCGCCCAAATGTTCCGCCTGTAGGAGGACACGCCCGACCTAAGGCCAGCGTCCTGGCCGCAAGAGTGAGGCGGGTCGGGGGCAGGGCGCAGAGCGGGCCGCGGGCGGGCCGCGGGAGGGGTCTCGGGGCGGCCTGCGGGTGGGTCGAGGGGAGAGGTCGCGGGTGCGTCGCGGGGCGCGGCGGGAAGAGGCGACGGCAGCAGCAACCGCACGGGTGTTGCGAAGATGTGGTGCGGCAGGGGCGGTAGACATCCGCCTGTGTGTCCCTCCCCTGTGTGTCTACCCTGCAGCCTGGGTCCATGAGCGTACCCCCTTGGGGTGTGTGGTTTCGGATCGGGTCCTGGATCTACTCCGACGGGATAGAAGAAGAAGGCATCATTAAGCCAGGACGCGGACTGTAATATGGGAACGGTGGGAAGGATGCGGGGGAGGGGGAGGAAGTGAAGAAGGGAGGACCGGTCAGCAGGGGAGGAGAGATAAGAGTAGGGAGATTTGCGGTAGCAGGAGCAATGCTCAGAAGTTTCAGTTTTGTTTGTTAGAAGCCCCCAGGAAACCATCACCAAGGCACAGCAATGATTATGGGTTGTATAGTAGCAGCGCTCCAGTCGAGCGCACGGCTTCTGAGTTCAAGGAGCGGGAACCTTGAGTCAATCATGAGGGAGTATCAAGCGGGAGCGCCAAACCTGACAAGCTGTCGGGAGGGGCCAGGCGAGAACGTGATCCTTGCGTAAATTGAATGAGGACGGACAGTGCGAGGATGCCTCAGGCAAGAGCTGTTATTGTTGTTCGGTATTCAGCGGCCCGGTTCAAACTCAAATCTGCTCGTTTAGTTTTCAGAGAAGATGTGCCCCGTACCCAGAGCGATTTTGACATCTTCCGTATGTCAACCACGCTCCTTTTTTTTCAGAAGCGAGGGCTCATCAATCTGCCCCGCAGAGCGCTTTGGCAGGCACGCGTTTTGTGACAATTTGAAAATGGTCCGGTCCCTGTTCACAAAGATGAAAATCGAAAACGTAAATGGGCCTGTATGCCATGACTTGCAGGCACTTTCGGATTGGCTCTCTTGCCGAGCCGATAGCGCTGGTCTTACAGCTGAAACTGAGAGAACGTGCGCTGGAGAAGGAGCGAAAGTGCGGGAGGAGGGGGAGGACGACAACGAGGCGACGAGCAGTATGAATACGATGTTAGGGAGGTGGGGGAAGGAGCATGGGAGGAGGAGTGGAAGGAGGAGGACGACGGCGACGACGAGCAGGGGGATGATGAGAGGGAAGAAGCAGGTGATGCATCCCATGTTTCATCCACGCACCCAGCACCGAAAGGAAGGACCCTTGTGCCGCTCGGAGATGAGATGGTGTATGCAGGCACGTGCGGCCAGAACGTGGTGACGCCCCCGGGGCATGTGCCTGCCGTGAGACACTGTGGCTCTCAAGTCCGGACCCTCTGACGCAGGGGGCTTATCGGAAGGGAGCCGAAAGGGATATGAGTCGAAGAGGGGGGGGCGAAGGGGGGGTGCAGTCCAACGCGGTGAGGGGGAGGCGGGGAACACGGAACAGTACGGCTGGACCGAGGTATTATAAGATCGGGGTCGGTTCGGGGAGGGTGCACCAACGTGGTTCGTGCATGGTGGATCTTCCTGTGCATCCTGGGGGAGGGTGCCCGCGAATGTGCCTGAGTTTGGCCGGCAGAGGGTCCCATGTCCTTGAAGGATGTGACTATGCCCCGGGCCAGGCCCTCGGAGGGAGTGACGGGACATTGAAGACAGCCAGAAGGGAGGTGATGAGGGTGAGTGCTCTAGCAGGTCGGCTCTTGATTCCGCGCTGCGCCAACCTGCCGCCCAGTGTCGTGGTAACCTTTCCGCGGCCGCGTGCGATGAAGAACAATAGACAATGACAATAATGACAATACACATGAAGTTACGATTGATACCAGTACTACTACGAATACTAATAGCGATACTAATACACAGAAGAGGGGCAGAGTAGATGGAGCGGGAGCAAGCCGATGAGAAGGAGCAGGAACCAGTAGAGGATGAGGGATGATGCATGAGCGGGTTAAGAGTTCAAACAGGGGGGGTAGGGCCACCAGCGGCAGGAGGAGGACGAGGAGGATGAGCACCAGAAGCGGGCAGATGCGATGAGAGGCGGTCCTGGCGATCAGCGACCACACCACGCCCCAGACTGGGGACGAGCTGGAGTCCCTCAGGGCGCCGCCCCACTGGGGAAGGGGCGTCCCTTCGCCACAGAGGTCCTCAGATGCCAGTGCCCGCCCGGTCGCGATGCTACGTGTCGAAGACGCCTCCTCGTTCGCCCGCCCGATCTCCGCCTCCGTCTTCGGGTTCATTGCCTCCTCGTTCCTCCCCATCCTCCTCCCGCATCCTCCTGGTCCGCCTCGTCCTCCTCGTCCTCGTCTCCCTCCTGGCAGGAGGACGAGGCGGGCGTGAACCAGGGAGGACGAGGAGGGAGAAGAGCGCAGGGAGAACAGGAGGTTCCTGCTGCTTCTCCCCCTTCCTCCTCCTCCTCCCTCCCCTTCCTCTTCGTCCTCCCGCACTGAGCCTAGACGTCAGCCCGCGCCCAAATAAAGCTCGCCCTCCCGCCGCCGCCGTCCCTTCGGGCTCCTCCCCCGCCTTCGCCCCCCTTTTTTGAGCTCGCCGCGCGCCATCGCGCACTGCTTCCTCCCCGCCGACTCCCCTCTCCATCAAGTCCCCCAGGCGGGAGGGGATGGCAGGAAGGAGGATGAGAAGGCTGGCTGGGAGCGAGGCGAGAGAGGGAGGATTCTTGCTCCCATCCCCCCTTCTCACCATCGCCCTCAGCATCCCCATCATCTTTATACCCCTCCTGCGGTATCCGCGCCATCCTCATCACATGACCCCGACCTCCCGTCTGGACTCAACGCATTTTTAATTTGCTGCTTAACAATGTTCAATCTGCGTGAAGCTTCTATCGTTGGCTTGACAAGCTTTTCATGAACAACTGTAGCCATCGCGAATCAACTGATTACAAACACAAGACAAAGCGCGAAAGTACAACATTGGGGTTCAAGCCTCGGACGCTTCATGGCCCCTCCCAGCCTTTGCCTCTGAGCCCCTCGTCGCCACCGCGGACCCCAGGGGGCCATCGGAGCCGGAGGGCCTCCGGGTGGGCAGACAGACGCGGCGCCACGGTGCCGTGGTGAGGCCGCCTGGGAGCGCGCTCACGTTTTGCAGGGCAAGCTGCCACAGGTCGCTCCTCCTCCTCCTCCTCCTCCTCCTCCTCATCCTCCTCCTTCTGGTCATCATCACCATCATCATCAGCAGCATCATCATCGTCATCAGCAGCAGTAGCAACAAATAAGCAGCAGCGGCATCAGCATCAGCATCATCATCGTCATCATCACTCATCATCCTCTCAATTTGGTGCCCAGATCTTCCGCGGGCGCGCTCGCGCGGGGAAGCGCTGCTGCCTCGGGGGTCTTTTCCTGCGGAGACGAGATCAACGAGACTTTGCATTGAAGCTGTCCCCCCTTCTACGCAACAGCCAATGACTCTACCAGTCGGTCTGGAAGTATGTCAGCAAGTGTTTCGAGTCTGCAATCGGTCTAAGTACATAGTCACGCTGCCGCGCATATCCGCCACCTCGCTCGTGGTTGCTGCCATCTTGCGGTCCACTTGGCAGACGAATGGAACAGTATTGGGGTTCCTGATCGCATCCAGGATAATTTTGGGGCTGCCACAATCTGGATGAGTCGGCGAGCCTTGCCAGTCTCCTTGGCTCCCACCTGGCATTCCCACCCGCCTCTCGTCCTGGAGCGCCCCCTACCCGCCCGCCGGGAGCCCTGCTCCCCCCCCCCCCCCCAATTTCGGGCGTCGCAAGCGTTGCGCTGCGAAGGCTCAGTTGGAGTGCGCTGGCCTGGTCGCACCCACTCGGTGGCCGTGTCTTTTCGGCCGACAAGTGCGCCACATATGGCGCAAGCAGCATCAGGCCGTGCTTATGCCAAGCGGTTGAGTGCGCAACCGATCCCGCATCCCATGAGGAGGAGGAGGAGGAGGAGGAGGAGGAGGAGGAGGCCGTTTAGTATCGACCGCCCTTCTGTGCGCAGCCTATGGCGCAGTCAAGAGCAGTCCGTCTTAGTTTGGAGCCAGCCACCGGGAGGGCGCAGCTTGCGGTGCAACAAATGGGAGGCAGCTGTTCCTCTGCCGTCCTCCTCCCGTTCCTCCTCCTCCTCCTCCTCCTTCTCCTCCTCTTCCTCCTCCTGCCTTCTCCTCCTGCTGCCTCCTCCTCCTCCTCCTGCCTCCTCCTCCTCCTCCTGCCTCCTCCTGCCTCCTCCTGCCTCCTCCTGCCTCCCCTGCCCTCTCCCTCTCCTCACGGCCTCTGCCCGCCGTGCCTCCCTCACCGCTCACGCGCGCCGTGGCCCCGCAGGGAGCTCCACCGAAGGACACATTGGCATGGTGCCGCCAAGCGTTCCCCGACCACCGAAGGGGCATTTTTTTCTTGCAAACTCACTCAAGCAATCCTCGCGGCCATGCTTGGTTTTTTTTTATATATATATATATATATATATATATAATATATATATATATATAAAAAAAATATCTCCTCCAGTGTGGTGCGGTGGTCCGGTGTGGTGCCCCGACCACCGAAGGGGCAAGCCCATGGCGCAGCCGGTAGCGGGCCGCCGAGCGCGCAACCTCCAGCGCAACCGATCGGAGGCCGTTTGCTCCAGGGCTGCCGAGAGCGGCGCACCTAACGCACTGCGGGATCAACGGCGCCGACCATCCTGATGGCACAGCCTATGGATGGCGCAGCCCGCGGATCGCGCAGCCAACGCAACCCGTGTATGGCGCAGCTTGTGGCGTAATGAACCCGTAGGAACTCGCTACTTGGGTGGGACCCAAGTAGCGAGTTGTCTCGGGACTTCTTCCTCCTTCCTGGCTCCCTCGCCGTCGCACCGTTCCCTGGCCTCTTCCGTGCCGGCGCTGGAGTCCTCCTTATCCTCCCCAGTTTGGTCCTCCTCCTCGTTCTCCTCTTCCGTGCCATGCCCTCCAAGCCCTCTTACTCCTCATCCCGACACGGCCTTCTCTCCGCCTCGTCGTCTTGCCCTCCATCCTCGGCCTCCGCGGGGAGCCCGCCTCGACGGCGGCGTCGTTCCGGAGCGGCGTGGACAGGCAGCGGCCCCCTTGGCCCTTGAGCCGTCCCGGGGCTCGAGTCTGGCACGTCCCTCGACGGGAGGGAGGTTCAAAAGTAGTGAAAAAGCTATTTTGGGAAGATGTTTTCACCATTCGCGGGCATTTTGGGAGTATTTTCTAGAGGTTCGCATTTTTCCCCCGAAATTCCCCTGTAGGGGGACAGGCCCGACCTAACCCGAGGCGCCTCCTTGGCGTCCCCCCGACAGGTGCGCAACCACCTGATGGACGTCCTGAACATCATCCAGGTCGAGACGCCTTTTTTGTTCGCGGCTGGGCAGGGGGAACATTTAGGTTTTCTAGGCCTCCTGGATGGTGTCGGAGTAGATCGGGTCGGAGGGTCGATGCATCGGCAATGCGGCTCGATGCGGAGCCCGTTTTTCTCCACGCCGACGTCGCCGACGCATCGCCGACATTGCCGGTGCATCGCCGATGTATTGTCGATGCATCGGCGGTGCATCGTCGATGCGGCCCGATCCTTCGACCCCATCTACTCGAACCCCACCTAGGAGGCCTCTAGAACAGCAGCAGCACGGGGAGGAGGAGGAGGAGGAGGAGGAGGAGGAGGAGGAGGAGGAGGTGTTAGAACATGGCGTTGCGATTGGTTGGGAGGGATGTGCTGGTTTAGTGATCATGCAGATGTCGTTACCGACGCCGCTTGGCTCAAGTAACCAATCAGTGCACATATCGCCCAATGTCTTCTAACAAATAGCGTCCATCCGTTCTCTGCAAGTCTTCCGCGGGAGGCAGGGGGAGCAAAGCCATTGCAGGTTTTGCCTCGTTGTGGGCAGTGTTGCCCTGTCCGAGAACAGGGGGCCTCGCTCCCGTGCAAACGACCGTGGGAATTTCAAGGCAGCAGCAGCAGCAGCAGCACCTCCCGCTCATCCAGGAGACCCGCTTCCTGATTCAAAAGCGCTCCAAGACCGCGATCACTGGTTCATCTTGAAACCAGCGAGATTCAGAGAGTTGTGCGAAGCAGCTCACTATGAAGGCGGCTACAGCTAAGTGGAGGGAGTAGCCCTAAGAGCCAATCTTGAGAGAATGAAAGAGTCCATAGAGAGACAGGCAGCAACAAGGGTTAGGGTTGTCACCGATGAGGAGAGCTATGGGCTGTTACGCATGGCCCAGGAAGGTGCACGGGGTTCCGTGGATCTCGGCTGAGCCTCCCGCCCTGGCGCCCAGAACACGCCAGACGCGGCGCTGCAGGCGCCGCCACAGACAGTCGGGCAAGTTGGCACGATTTGAAGCTGCGGCCCGACGTCTCGAATCGCGCGGAGGCACCAGACTGTCGGTGGGCGCAGCGCCGGGCGTTCGAAAGCGAGTGCGGGGGCCCCCGCCGACGGTGGCGAGGCTCCGCTCCGCCAGCGTCGGCGCCCTGGCACGGATCGGCTGCGGATCGCACGCGGGTCCGACCCCTTCGACGGGTTTGGGGCCGGTCCGGGCGGTGGGGAAGCAGCGTGGTTTGGCACCGGGTTCTGTCGGACCACGGCGCCCTTGCCGTTGAACACTCGTGAGGGTGTCCGCGAGGGGGGGCGCGGAGAGGACGGCTCTCACGCAGGGGCGCAGAGCGGGCGCGACGGAGAGGGGGAACCAGAGTGTTAGTCAGAGCCCCGAATCATCAGGGGTAACTCGGGTCAGGGCTAACTCGGGTTCGTTTTTCGGGAATCCGAGCCCGAGTTACCCCGGACCCGAGTTACCCCGGATAATTCGGGCGTCCAGAGCCCCGAATCATCAGGGGTAACTCGGGTCAGGGCTAACTCGGGTTCGTTTTTCGGGAATCCGAGCCCCGAGTTACCCCGGACCCGAGTTACCCCGGATAACTCGGGCGTCCAGAGCCCCAATCATCAGGGGTAACTCGGGTCAGGGCTAACTCGGGTTCCTTTTTCGGGAATCCAAGCCCGAGTTACCCCGGACCCGAGTTACCCCGGATAACTCGGGCGTCCAGAGCCCCGAATCATCAGGGGTAACTCGGGTCAGGGCTAACTCGGGTTCCTTTTTCGGGAATCCAAACCCGACTTACCCCGGACCCGAGTTACCCCGGATAACTCGGGCGCCCAAGTTAGTCAGGCGCTCCTTGGAGAGCTTTTCTTTTCGGGCGGCTCCTTCCCAAACCTTCCTCGGTTGGCTCCGTCTAGAACTTTCCTGGGTTGATCCTCGTTCTGTTCCGACGTTTGGGCCGTCGCGCGTTCTGGTCACTGGACTTCGCCGACGCCGTCGTCGTCGTCGCCAGCGCCTTCTTGAGGTTCAGACCCCCGTCGTGCGTCGATTCAGTTACGGTTCTAGTCCAGGCAACTTCAGTCACGCTTCCAGTCCAGGCAGCTCGTATCAATTCTACATGACTGTACGTATGGGGGCCCGTACAGCTCCCTTCTGTTCCGCCAGGGGGGCCCAGATCCTGTAGCGCTTGCCCCGTTCAGCTCCCCCGATAGCACGCAGCCTGTATCGGCTCGCTTGACACAGCCTGCGTCGTATTGACGGGCTTCGGTGGGCACACGCATGTGTTGGCGTTGGCTCATGTGCTGAGGATCTCAGGACGGAGAAATGGACACACACACACACACGCACACACAAATATACACATCGATTTGTCATAGAACTTAGAGGGCACATGGGAAACACATAGAAATACGACAATCCAGACACTTGTTTGCTTAACAAGGGGATCTTGACATGTGTTTCGATCTATTTGTTTCAGTGGGCCCCTACTGTCAGCTCACATGATAAGGATGATCGGGTTCCCAAGGATGCCCTTGCATCCTTGCCTCTTCGGTTATCTTCGGTTATTCTTCAACCATTCTCGATGGCCAGCCCCGCTCGAAGAGCCTCAGTACGGGCGCCGAAGGCCATGTGCATCCTGACCGCGCATCCTTAGTATATGGGAAGCTTGTATACGGTAGGTTCATGCGGCGACGGCGCGCCGGTGGCGCCAACGAAGGCTTTTATGGCTGAAGTCCACATGATAGAACAACGCGGAATCACTGTGGGGCACGGTGACACCACAGGACCCCACTGAATCAAACTACGAGCGATCGGGGCCGCGATCGATTCAAGGTTGAACGAACGACCGACGCGGTGTCAAACCGCTTTGCGCGCGCCGATGCCGCTGTGCGCGCGCCGATGCCGTGCTGCACGCCCCGCACGAGGAGGGCGGCGGGCTCCCCAGGTCGAGACGCTCCTGCGCCTGCGCGCCGCCGAGTCCGCCTCCGAGGCCTCCGACGACGTCGAGGCTCGCGGCGCCGGCGCTCGCCGATCGGGGGCGTCGGGTCAACGAGGGGGGGGATGCAGTCGTAATCGATCAGAGGGACGGTCGGCGGCGAGGGAGGGGGGGAAGCGAGAAGGAGGGGGCCTGGGCAGGAGGCGGCGGGACTTCTCAGAAGCCCCCGCGCCTTCTGAGAGGTGTTTTTGTGCCGTCGGGGAAGAGGGCTCAGGGAACTCATCAGAAGGCCGGGGGACTCCTCGGCCTTTGAGAAGGCCCGCCCCTGCTCACTTTCCAACCCCCGGGCCCGCCGCCAACTCATTGCAGGAAGTGGCGCATGTGCCTTGAGGTGGAGGTACGGGTCACCCCCCCCTACAGCCATATCTTCGTTGGCCCAGGGACGGTAGGGGGATCCTCGGCACCCTCGAGTGCCGACTGACGGCAGAATGGAAGGCTTGCCGGTGGGGGCGGGAATCCGAGCAGGCCCCCATTGACGGAAGCTGCGAGGGGTGCGGTGCCTCCTGACGGTTCTTACCCCGGCGAGGCCCAAGGGCGGACCTCGCCGAGCGGAGGGGGGGAATGGGGAGAGGGGGGGGGGGCGTAGCCACGATGCCAGGGACGCGTAGCCTTCCCAAGGGTACCCTTGCAGCCGTGCCTCTTCGGGCCATCCTTGACCACTCTCGACGAGGGGAGAGGGGGGGGGGGGCGTAGCCACGATGCCAGGGACGCGTAGCCTTCCCAAGGATAGTTACCCTTGCAGCCGTGCCTCCTCGGGCCATCCTTGACCACTCTCGACGGCCAGCCCCGCCTCGCTCTTAGGGGGCCTCGCGGGTCATCGTAGGGTGATATTTGGGGGCTCTTGGGCTTTTTTCGGAGCGTCGACATGGGCGTACAGGGGGCTCGCATCCTTATCGCGCATCCTTGCTATCAGAGTTGACGGTAGGTAGGGGTGGGAGAGGCATGGTGGGGGCGCATCAACCCCCAATCACCCATTCATCGCCGACAGGGGCCGATAGCTCACCCCCGCCCAGGAACGTGGGAATTTGTTATCGACGGCCTATCGCCGATCTATGTGCGATGCATCGCCGATTCCAGCCCACCACGCTTCGGCGCGACAAACTGTCCTCGTCGCGGTCTCCAGGCGTGAGAGTCTCGAGCTTTCCAGAGCCTCCCGCCCCACTGAGCGGAGCGACACGCTATCTGCTCGCAGGGCATCGCGTGTCGCCGGAGCCGCCGCGGCGACACGCTATATCATTTGCAAATGTTCCTGACTGGAAGGGGAGACGTATCGAAGTTAGCTGATGACACCAGACGCCGCTCGTTGCTGCCACTGCCAACCTTTCTCTCATGGATCTGGCCGAGCACCGCAGCTAACGATGGCGGGTTTCGACTCTTCTCCAAACACTTGCTGCCACTGCCGGCCTTTTGCGCACAGGGCAGCCCCAAAGGTTCGAAGGTGCTCGGACGTTCTCGTCGGTTCTCACGGTTGTCCAGGCTTGGGATGCGTTCCAGCGGCTGCGCCTCGCCGAGGGCGTTCCAAGGGTGCCATGGCGCGTCCCGAGCGGCCACCGGAGAGTCGCGCTACGACCCGAAAACCCGAGGGCAACGTCAGGGTGGGGTGGTTTTAAGTCGGGCCTGTCCCTCTACAGGGGGGAGATTCCAACATGGTCAAAAAAGCAGTCGGCGGACGATGCTTGGACTATTTCTTGCCATGTTTGGATGATGTTGGAGGTATCTTTATTTTTTCAACCAAAATCCCGACAGGCCCGACCTCAAGGTAGTACCATCGCCGCAGGGGGGACGCATCGATCCCCGAACGCTAACGGGCCCCTGCCACAGGGGCCCTGTCACAGCCCACCCCGCCAGTGTCCGCGCGGATGCGCCATCGGAGGCCCATCGCCCTTCAATCGGCGATGTGCTGCCGATTCTGGCGCGACGTCCCCCTCTGAGCAGGTCAGCCCCTACACCTCCCGCGCAGAGGTAGGAAAGGCCTCAGCTGAGAGCATCGGCGTCACTCTCGGCGTGATCTTCGAGCCGTCGTCCAGGCCCAGGGCTACGAAAGTTTGCACCACAAGAGTCGGGGCTGGACAGAACCCCCAACAGTGACACGTCGATTAGTGAATTGGCCGTTTTCGGCTCTCGAGAGGGCGCCGCGGCCGTTGCTTTCCAGGCTTGCGCCCGCCAGGCTTGGGCCTCAGGTCGTTTTCACTAGACCACGTTTTGCTAAAGGGGGTTCTGTCCATCCCCGAAAGAGGGGCTCCAAGAGAAGGCGCCCGGGGTCGAGCCCAGGTGCTCCAGCCTCTCGAAAGCGCATCTGTCGTTAAAGGCTTAACGACTTCTGCCGTCCTTCGACTCGCGCTGGAGCGGCCGCGAAGTGCTCGAACTTTCCCTAGAGATCTCTGGATTTACCTGGGTTGACCTGGATTTACCTCGATTTATCTGCATTTACCTGGGTTTATCTGGCTCGATTCTCACAAGCCGATTGGCGAAAAGTCGACAAGCCCTTAGGGAATCTGGACCCCAGGAGGGCCGATGCTCTCTCGTGAGAGCTCCGACGGGGTCGACCGTCCCCCCCCCCCTCGGCCGAGCCAGCGGCGGGGCGGGGGCCGGGGGCCCGAGCGGCGCTCGGTCCTCGATCCTCCTCCTCCTCGTCGTCGTCCTCCTCCTCCTCCTCCTCCTCCTCCTCATCCTCGTCCTCCTCCTCCTCCTCCTCCTCCTCCTCCTCCTCCTCTCCTCCTCCTCCTCCTCCTCCTCCTCCTCCTCCTCCTCCTCCTCCTCCTCGTCCTCCTCCTCCTCCTCGTCCTCCTCCTCCTCCTCCTCCTCCCGATCCTCGAGCCGGGGAGGGTCGAGGATCGGGGGTCGAGGAGTCCCCTGCAGGCCCCCAGGAGGCCCGCCGTCCCCCCGAGGATCGGGGATCGAGGAGTCCACTTGCAGGCCCCCGAGGAGGCCCGCCGTCCAACCCGAGGATCGAGGATCGGGGAGTCCACACTGCAGACCCCCCAGGAGGCCGAGCGCTCCCCCGCAGCCGGGGGCGGGTGCTCCAAGGGCGGGCCGGCGGGAGGTGCCCAGGCCTCCCGGCGGAGTTTGTGACCTGTGTGCGGCCGGCGGCGTCGCCTCGACTGCGGCCGAACGGAAGGGCGGGGCAGGGAGAGGTCGGAGCGGTGGCGGAGCGTCTGGGCTCGCCTCGAGGCCTGCCCAAGAGTGTTCGAGGACCTTCTTGTGCTTTGCACGACATGCTCTCAGAGCAGTTCTGGCTGGGACTGTCTCGTTTTGACACATCGGGTGCATGGTCTGAGCACACTGTTTTGTTCTTAGAACTTGTCTGGGTTCTAAGAACATTTCGCGGTAGGCCGATAGGAATGCCGGGATTGTCGGCCCCTGTTCCAAAAGGGGGGGGGTACGAAGTCTGCTGCGTGCAGCTGGTCTCGGCCCCGCCGCCGGGCCCACTCCTCGACACGTGGGCGCTTGCCGGCGCCGGGAGGCGCTTGGAAAATCGGCTACGGGAGCTGATTCTCTTCGGAGGGCACCAGCTATACACCAACACCGATCCTGGCCCAGGATCACCCTGGGCCCAGGATCGGTGTATATATGCATTCTTGCGCAATGCAGGCGGGCGTATACACCGGTCCTGGGCCCAGGTGATCCTGGGCCAGGATCGGTGTTGGTGTATACCCAGACCCCCGACGTCATGATTTTTTCATGACGCGACCCCCAGAGGTCCGGACCCATTCCCCGGGACCGGCTTTTCATCCCGAGTCGTTTTTTGACGGTCCTGAGGGCCGGTAAGGGCCCCCGGAGGCCGAAAATAGTGAAAAACCTTCCGTCGTGATTTTTTCATGACTCGAGGAGGTCTGGGTAGTTGGTGCCTTCCTATCTCTACCCTACCCTTTGCTATCCCCCCTTTCGTGCCCCCCCGAGTCGGCGGCGGCCCTCGGGGCCCTGCAGGCGGGCGCGGGTCGACGAGGTGCCCCCCCTGGGGGCGGTTCGGGAGCTCTGGGGGCCGCGGCCTGGTCGGACCCAGATTGGCGGGTGGCATGCGGCAGCAAAGCATGGGAGACTCGCACGTCCTCGCAATTCCACGTTCCCAGACCCCCTCGAGTAATGAAAAAATCATGACGCGAGGTTTTTCGCTATTTTCGGCCTCCAGGGGTCCTTACCGGCCCTCAGGACCGTCAAAAAACGACTCGGGATGAAAAACCGGTCCCGGGGAATGGGTCCGGACCTCTGGGGGTCGCGTCATGAAAAAATCATGACGTCGGGGGTCTGGGTTTAGGGTGCATTCGCGTCGATGTAGCGCTGATTGGCGTCGTTTCAACGTCGATGAGCGTCGGCTGCAGCGTCGATCAGCGTCGATTCGCAAGAGCCAGCGAGATGGCATGGCAGGTTCTCATGAGTTGCCACCGAAGATGTCAGGGTGGCTGGCGGAGAGGGCGGGAGTTGGCCGTCGGGGAGGGCGGGTATCACGGGTGGGCCCTTGGGCTTCCTGGCGTCGGCTCGGAGCTCGACGTGTGAGACGATCCCGAGGAGGGCTTCGCCATCTCTGAGTCGCAACGTTGGCGCATCTTCCTCGGTGGAAGGGCGTCGGGAGGCGTCGGATGCGAAGCAGGAGCGGTTCCGCAGGCGGAAGGCCTGTAGAAGCAGGCAGGAGCAAACGATGTCCCCCCCGAGCAGCGCCGCACACGATTCGACCTGGCTCTGGCTCGGCGAGTCGGAGTTCCGCGGCTGCCGGCTCGGCTCGGGAGGTTTCCAGCGGCGGTCCGCTTACGATTTCGGATGCGGAGGCCGAGCGGTTCGATTCGATCCGACCGGGCCGGGAGGAAGTTCCTTCCGGCCACTCCTGCTCTGGGCTGCTGCTTCGGCCACGGCCCTCCTGGCGCGTCTCCGGGGCTCCCTGGGTCCCTTCAGGGCTCCCTAAGCAGTGGCTCGGATGAACCAGGGCACTGGCGCGCCCGAGAAAAACCTGTGGGCCGACACAGTTTCCATTCCTCGTTCCCTCCAGGTGGCCCTCCTCCGCCTCCGCCTCCTCCTCCTCCTCCTCCTCCTCCTCCTCCTCCTCCTCCTCCTCCTCCTCCTCTCCTCCCCCTCCCCCTCCTCCTCCTCCTCCTCCTCCTCCTCCTCCTCCTCCCTCCTCCTCCTCCTCCCCTCCTCCTCCCCTCCTCCTCCTCCTCCTCCTCCTCCTCCTCCTCCTCCTCCTCCTCCTCCTCCTCCTCCTCTCCTCCGCCTCCTCCTCCTCCTCCTCCTCCTCCTCCTCCTCCTCCTCCTCCCCTCCTCCTCCCCTCCTCCTCCTCCCTCCTCCTCCTCTCGTCCTTCTCCTCTCCTCCTCCTCCCTCCTCCTCCTCCTCCTCCTCCTCCCCCTCCTTCTCCTCCTCCTCCTCCTCCTCCTCCTCCTCTTCCTCCAACTCCTCCTCCTCCTTCCCCTCCTCCTCCTTGATCGCAGTGCTCGGAGGAGCACGAGGTCCTCAGAACGATCTGTTCCAAGATTTGCCCAGGATCCCTAATTTCCCTGACGGTTCACGGGGGCTGCAGAAGCGAGGGTTGCCAGCTACTCGGGAGATCCTGGAACTCACTACCCACCAAAGTACCCCCACCCAAACCGAGGGCCCCAATTTGCCCGATTCCCAGTGTGGACGGGGCGCTGGGGAGCATTGAGAAAAACACATGTGGAACCCGTACCCCCCACCCAACTCGAAATTTGAATATTCGGTTAGGTTGGGGTGGTCTGGTAGGTAGTCCGAAACGTATTCAGCAAGGGGGGAACGAAGACAGAACGAGGAACTCCGAAAGCAACACGAAACCGACAATCATTGCTTAGCTCGAACCCTGACATCGTGCCCGTCGCAAGTGTGGTTTTTGAGCGTGTGCTCGCTCGTGCAGATCGTGGGCTGCAGGAGCACCCCGTCCCGCCGACCGTGGGGGCACGACGAAGATAGTGAGAGGGTCTGACGGGGTACCCATCGGTCGTTCAAAGTAGGTATCCTTGGATTCCCAGATTCCCATCAGACTCCAAGGATCGAGTGGTTTTCCTTTTCCATTCGTCTTCAGGGGGTGGGCGGAAATCCAATCTACTTCAACGCCTTCCCACTTCATGGTTCTACCCACTTCTTCCGACCAGCGCGTGCCCCTTTACAAAGCTGCGCAGCGTCGTCGCCCTCCGCTCCTGTGTCCCCGGGGAAGACCTGGAAGACGGAGCATGACAGAGACAGAGGGAGGCTCCGACAGGGTGCTCCTCTACGATGCTGCGCAGCGCCATTGCCCTCCGTGTTCTGTACCGTCGGCGAGGGCTCAAAAGACGTCTCGGAAGGCGCGAGGGCTTCTGAGAAACCCCGCCGCCTCCTAAAACGGCCTGCCCCCTCCCACTTCCCCCCCGGGCGCGCCGCCGACTCGCTCCGCCTTCCTCGCACAGGTCGTCCATCTCCGTGCCCGAGTGGGCAGGAGAAAAAACACGCACACGGGCAACCACTCGTCGATCCCCAGGAACATATGGGAAAACATGTGCAGTGGAGGGGGAGACGAGCATGCAGAAAACACGAAGGACATAGGGACTCCGTGGATTTCTGTCTGTTTATGTGTGTGTGTGTGTATCTGTGTGTGTGTGTGTCCTTGGGCCCCGTCATCAGGTGCTGAAGGACGCCCTTCTCGTCACCATCAACGGGATCGCCACCGGCATGCGCAACTCGGCATGAGACCCTGCTGCGCGCCCGCCTGCCGGGCGCTGCCGCCCAAGAAGGCGAGGCCTCGAGAGCATTCCTCTCCCCAACAGTGGGAGGAATAGTCGCAGGCGATTTCTCTCCCCCAATCCCCGAGCTCCGTCCGAAAAGTTTGGCCGCATGGGGAAACTCTGGGATATACCCCAAAGGAGCTATTTGGACGCAGCCCTCATCGAGGATGGATCCCCCCCACCGTATATCCCAGGGACGATTCCAAAACCCCACAAGGCCTGCTATTGGGGTCGACGTATCCCATCCTCAATGGGCACAGAGACCGACAGCACGGTACCTCCGCGGACGTTGTCGGCGTCGCCGCGGACGTTGTCCGTTTGAGACGGGCGCATGCCTGCCCAGCAGCGGCCGCCGTCGGTTTTGGACAAGATTTTCGGATGCAACTCCTGGGAGGTCAAATTCTGATTTAGCCCTGGTCCGAAATCCCGCTTCATCCCGCTTAATCCGGCTAAGTCCTCCCGCTGAAGCCCGCTTCATCCGGCTTGATCCCGCTTGATCCGAGGCCCACTCTGGCGTAACAGCCCCCCAATGGGGTTTAATCCTCCTGCTTTCCAAGGCTCGTTTCGATTCCTTCGATTCGATTCGATTCGATGTCGATGGATTCCGATTTCGATTCGATTCGACTTTGGATTCCGATTTGGATTCCGATTTCTCAATGAGGCATCACTACCCTGCCGATGTCCCCCGATCCGACTCCTCCAGGCGTGGCTGCCGATGTCCGCCGATCCGATTCATTTCGATCGCCGATCCGACTTCTCGATTCGATCTGGGGCTCCTTTCCCTAAGGGCTTGTCGACTTTTCGCCAATCTACTTGTGAGAATCGAGCCAGATAAACCCAGGTAAATACAGATAAATCGAGGTAAATCCAGGTAAATCTAGATACATCTGGGTAAATCCAGGTAACTCCAGAGATCTCCAGGGAAAGTTCGAGCACTTCGCGGCCGCTCCAGCGCGAGTCGAAGGACGGCAGAAGTCGTTAAGCCCTTACCGATCCTTAATCCTTCCGACGAAAACCTCCCAGCAGTTGCCCGTCGGGCGTCCAGCAATGAGTGCGGCGCATTGCCCTGGGCAGGTCCGCTGCCGCAGCGCCCGCGTGCCCCATCCCTCGTCGTCTCGCCGCCCCTCCTCAGGAGGGAAAAAAACACACAGACACAATTAATCGTCGATTCCCCAGAAAATATGGGAAAATATGGGAATTGGGCGGGAAGACAAAAATCAAGAAAATATAGGAAAATATGGGGGTTTATTTTATTTGTGTGTATTTATTTGTGTGTCCCAGGGCCCCTTCACCTCCTGCTTTCCAGGGCTCGTTTCGAGTCCTTCGATGCGACTCGATTCGACTTCGATGGATTCCGATGTCGATTCGATTTGACTTCGGATTCCGATCTGGATCCCGATGTTTCAACGAGGAGGACTCGCTGTCCGCGCCGCCGCGGCCTGTGTCCGCTTGAAGCAGAAGGCCGCATGCCCAACAGCGGCCGCTGTTGGTTTGGGACGACATTTGTTGTTGGGCATTGTGCCCATTTTTTCCGTACCCATTTCGGGCGTCCCAAACCGCGGGCTCCCACGGAGCAGATTGAGTCAAGCGGTGGCGAAGCGTCTTGGCGTGCCTGTAGTCCTACCAAACAGTGTTCGAAGAACCTTGTCGTGGTTCCCACGAAATGACCTTCGAACACTTCTGGTCGGGACTGCCCTGTTTTAACCTATCGGGGTTATGTGATGGGAACAGTGTTTTTGTTATGAGAACAGTGTTTCTTGTTATGATAACGTGTTTGTGTTTTTTGTTTTGTTTTTGTTATGAGAACATTTCGTGGTAGGACTATAGGAATGCCGGGACGGTCGGTCCCTGCTCAACTAAAGCCGGGCGTGTCCCTCCACAGGAGGAATTTTCAAAAATAATAGAACAATAGTCTGGGGACGTTTGTGTTGACAATGTTTGGACATTTGTTTGGTAATTGTCAGGTATGTTTTGATTTTCCGTCCAAAACCCCCTGTTGGAGGACAGGTCCGACCTAAGAGCAGACACCAAAGTCGTTTCGCCGCCCTTCCTCTCTTTTTTTGGGGGCAGGGCGCAACGGAGGATGTTTCGCGTTCGGGTGGCCAGGGCGTTGTACATGGGCATTGGCCGGAGTTTCGGTCGATTCAAGTCAAGCTGTCGGTGTTTCAAAGATGCGGTCCTGAGGGATGGGGTCCTAAGGACGGGGTGCCTCTAACAACGTAAATCCAACCTTGGATCCCTTACTATCCTTAGGACCCCATCCCTCAGAAACCCATCTTTGAACCACCGAATTTGCTTCGGTTGCAAATCATGGGAACCTTGTGTGTCCTCCGAATCCCGGGTTTAGGGTGCGCTAGCGTGCGCTAGCGTTTGGTGTCCATGAGGCGCTAATCCTTGCGTCGATTTGCGTCGATCTAGCGCCGCTTCGCGTCGATTCGGGCGGGCTCGAGGATAAATCCATTCCGCAGCGTTCCGGAACGCTCTCAGAGCGTTTTGGAACGCTTTGCGACGGCCGCAGCGACCGATACCGTCCTTCAGTACCGTCGGGTCTCAGAGACTCTCGATTTATCCCCGTGCTTCTTGGATTTTCTTGGAAGGGGCGCCACAAGGCCGAGGCGCAGTGGATCTAGATAAAGATCGAGCCTCTATGGGGGAAATGTGTCCGTATCCAGTGCGCCTCGGGTTTCTTGGGAAGGGAGCCCGGAACCCCAGACTGCAGTGGATGCGTACAGAAGTATTGCCCGCATTTCTGGTCCGCGTTCGTCGGGGAGCGCGCGGTGGCAAAGCGTCCTGGCTTGCCTAAGGTGGAGGGTTTCTCCGAAGGGCTGAGGCGACCCGTCCTCCTCTCTCCTCTCTCCTCCTCCCCCTCCTCCTCCTCCGTAGCTATTTTGGCTCAAGTTCCAAACCTTGCCCTGGGGTTTGGAGCTTGTTCGCTGCTGAGGGGCAGGCCCGAGCGCTTTCCACGGTCATCAGCTGACCCTGCCGCCCCCTTCGTGCTGTGCGTTCTTCCATCCAGTTTCTCCTTCGTGCATGCGATGGCGGACGACGCGGAGGGCCCTTCGGTCTTCGGCTTTGTGGCCCCGTCTGTCGCGCCTGTCGCTGTGATGCTTGCAGACAAGGCCGCTCGCTTCGTTGAAGCAAAGGCCGCTGGCAAGGGTGTGACAAACCCAGACCTAAACGCCGACTTCCAGCGCATGTTCCAGATGTTCACATCGATACAGACTGGGCAGGCCAAACTCGCGACCAAGAAAGACCTGAATAGCATGCGAACGGACCTGACTGTCCAGACTCGACGCATCGACGATCTTCAGGAGAGAATGAACTCCATGGGTGCTCACATGAATGGTTCACTACCGGAAGCGCAGACAAAAGCGAACAACGCCATTTTGGACCAGAAGATCGACGAGATCAAACGTACTGTGCCGACTACTTATCCGCCCTCCTCGACTGCCTCGACTGCCTCTTCCTTGCCTTGCGCCATGCGAACCAAGCCAGAGGCGATGTCTGACCCACTTAAAGTGTGGATCGGAGGATTTCCCTGTCCTCTGCTCGGACGAACTCTTGAACAACATGGTCACAAGGTACTTGCAAACCTTCCTGAAGCAGCGGGAAATGTGGGGTGATCAACGGCCACAGGTTGCAGCAGAGGGACAGCACCGTCTTTTCCGACACCACATACGCTAACGACTTCGTCGAGCGCGTACGGAACGACGGCTTGAAGTGGACAGACCCTCGTGAAGGTGAGATCCAACCACGTGCCCGGAAAGACGCTACTGCAGATATGAGGCGCCGCAACAGGACCCCCGGCTACCTGTGAGAACGTGTCCGCACTCTGTTCGCCTCCACGGATCAGTGGACGAACCACATGAAGCTCGGCTCTCAGGGCTTCAAGGGCACGCTCTCCATGATCACGGACGACGAGGTGAGGATTCGATTTCAGATTGAAGCTGGAGGCAATGACCAGTTCACGATCATCCCGAATGACCAAGGGCTGCAGCGGTTTGCGATCGAGGAGCCGATTTACAATCCTTGGATCGCTACTGCACACAAGAAAATTCCCTTGCCAGTCCGAACTTCTGTCGGTGCGGGGTGCGTTGTCACAAACATGGGTTTGCAAAACATCTTCAGCAGCGCAGACGATGGCGCGCATCGACGCAGCGTGCCAGATCACAGTTCTACTTCCGCCACGAACTCGACGGTTTCATTGGCTTCGTCCTCGTCTTCGTCTTCTGGCTCCAGGCCCGCATTCGGGGTGGATTTCGCGGGCTCGGGCACGCTGCCCTTCCTGCCGTCCAGCCTGTTCAGCACTATCTCTTGGAACTGCTGTTCTCTGTGTGCTTATCCTGGGTCACGTCCTCCATACACTGCTAAGTCTCTTGGGCCATCTCGAGATCGGACGTACCCTCCAGCACTACCGACCCGCGAGCTCTAGCGTCATCGACGGTTTCATGCTCGGCACGTACAGGATAAGCTCATACGTCTCATGTTCTGTATATTCTAGTGCTCTCTCTACCCACTGTAACTGCTGGTGTTCTTTACGATCTAGTCCGGCTCACGCGTGTATACCATTTTGCACCGTCATCGGTGACTGTCTTCGGCACATGAATAGCTTCAGTTGTACCGAGTGTTTGCTCATGCGTTTGTACCATCTCCCTGTGTCCTTGCGCGTTGCATCCCATCTTGCCCACCTTGCATTGTCAATGCTGCCGTGCGCGTCCCCGTCCAGTCTAAGTATTGGGCGTCACAGCGATATATTGTATGTTGTGTATCATTATTTGGGGCGCTCGGCCCATGCTCTTTCGACTGGTCGCTTTCGGCCGAGAATCTCATGCATTGCGCAGCATGGTCGCTGCTGCTTATGCCAGCGCAGCCCGGCCAGCTGCGCCCGCGCCGAGAGCGCCACCGCCACCGCAGGAGCCTGGGGACGGGGTGGGACTTCTCTCTTCTCTTCGCCCTCTTGTCCGC